CGCAAATGGCTACCATATTGAAAAATATACTATTTTTGTATGATAATTATGGGTTTTGTATTTTATTTTAATAGAAGTTGATGTTGCTTTTGCAATTATCCATCAATTTTTTAAAATTAAACACTATCTACAGATTTGCATCGAAGCGTTTCTTATGATAGTGATTTTAATCACTGTCAGATTAAATCTATACTGGACCCTACTATGCAATGTCTCTACTATGCCGCGACCCCACTGTGCTACCGTCTTTTATTAAATCAAATTAGTAATTTTCCTTTACGCAGTGTTCTACTAACACTAGCCATTTAATTTCTTTTTATATACATATGACTATTAAATTAAAAAAAAAATCTATATTAAAAAGAGACATATAAGTATAAAATTGCAATTTTTTCTCAAATTTTCGAGTTTTACATATTTAATAAGATTTATTCAAAAATAATTGCATTAGAAACTTCATTTTTTTTTTGAAAAATGAGTATCAAACTAAAATTTGAAGGTCTATAAAAAATATTAAACTGGGATAAGCTTCAAATTTTGCATTTTTTAAAATTTTCAAAAATTATATTAGAAAAATAATCATTTTTCAATTTCTTGTAATGATTTTATATTGTTTAAATACTTCTAATAACTAATTATCTTAAAAACTAGATATGACGGGAAAACATCTTAAGTTAGATTCGAAATTCAATATAAATATTTAAATAGAAATTTTTCTATTATTTATTGCCTTGTGTTATTTTAGATAATAGATAGTATTTAACTTGTTTACACCTATGTAAATTTATCTGTGAAAACTAGCTGTTCTCCCCTATCTTGTACACACACCTTCTAAATATTAATTTTTTTAATGTTGATATAATGCATCATTTTATTAAATTATTTTTCGTTACTCTAGTATTAATATTATTATTGGCCATAAGAATAGTATAGGTGTGGCCGAGTCGGTAACGCGGTAGAGCTTGACGCACATTGCTTCGGGTTCGAGACTAGGTCACAGGCAGCTACATTTGCCAAGCGAGAGATAAGTTCGATAATTGGAGTTGCCATACCTCTCTCTGGTAATGTACTAACCACTCATCTTGGAGTACCAATAATTAAGATAACTTCTTCTTTGAAAATATCGCTACGGTCTTACATGGGCCTAAAAAATTAAAAAATAACTAAGAATAGTATATCCAGCGCTGGATATAGATATTGTAAAATCATTTTGACAAAGTGATATTTATTTTTTATAATACTAATATTTACTAAAACAATAATAAAAATGTATAATAACTTTTTTTTTTACTTTTTACCTAAGTTTGTGGGGCTCTAAACGAGTGCATTGATTTCAATTACTTTTCCGAATGCGTTGAGTATATGAGTTATGATAAAAAATAATAAGTTTGAAAATGATTTAATTAATATTTTTTAATTTCAGTGATACATACGGCAGCTGTAGAAATGTTATCAGGGGTAGATGAAGCAAAGAAGTTTTCTCGTAAGCCCGAAATAATGGCTGATGCTGCTTATGCGATTATTACAAAATCTTTTGATAATAGTTTAACTGGTCAATTTTATATTGATGATGAAGTATTAAAACAAGAAGGCATCTTAAATATTGATCAATATTTGAGTGATCCAAGTAAGATAATTGTAACGTGCAGCATTTTTAGTATTAAAAAGAGAATTGCCTACTTACAAATTTGATAGGTTATTTATATATAAAAAAACAGAGAAAGAAGAAGAGAGAATGAAAATCGCTTAGATTAGACAACAGAGATATTAACGGACGACTATTGAGGACGACCTCGATGCTACAGAATAATGTAGTTAATTCTTTGAATGTAAACATTTGAGTACCTACAACTCGTTTTTAATGATATTTGCATAATTTTACAGCCACTTCACATAATCCACCCATATAGAGGCTGCTGGTGGATTGAAATGCCATTTACACGGTATCGAAATGAGTATATGTCCTGAGCGAATGAGTTAAAAAACACAGATTTGATGTATTGATTCGCTCCTTTGAAATAATATGTATAATATGTATAGGTCCGGCAAAATATATACCGGCTCCAAGAAATGCTCTTGAAGGAGTGACTTAGCGGCAAGTGAGACAAGAAAGATTGTGGCACTGTTGCTCTATACCTAGCACAAATGCGCATGCAAAAATAACCCTTCGTATAGCGGAACAACTTGATAAAATCCAATATTTTTAACGAGTACTGGCGCTAGAAGTTGAGACCGGCATGAAAATAAGTTAAATGAAAATGACGAATAGAAAAAAGAATTCCAATGAGGCTGAAATGTAAATTCTATAAGACTGTAATAAGGCTAGCTGTGATGTATGGTTCAGAGTGTTGGACGGTTGATAAAAAAGTAGAGCAGAAAATGAGTGTAACAGAGATGAGAATGCTTAGATAGATGAGTGGAGTGACTAAAAAAGATAGAATAAGGAATGAGCATATAAGAGGGAGTATAGGTGTAGCGTCAATCGTGGATAAGATGAGACAAAATAGACTTAGATGGTTTGGTCATGTTATGAGAAGAGAACAACCGGAAGCTGTAAGAACAGTTATAGATATTAATGTTGAAGGAAGAAGAGGTAGAGAAAGACCAAAAAAGAGATGGAGGGATGCTATTGAATGCGATTTGAGGACAGCTGATGTGAGTGTTTAGGATGTGGGAGATCGTGTCAAGTGGAAATTTAGGATAAGAATGGCTGACCCCAAGTAGTTGGGATTAAGGCGAGGAAGAAGAAGAAGAAGAAAAAATGAAAATGACAAATCTAAAAAAAAATTAGGTAATAAAACTGGATGGCGAGAAGCGTACGGAATAGTAGCATTACGAAGGCGTCTGCCTATGCGTATTATATTATTTTCATCTGAGAACGGTGACAATTAAACTAAAGAACGTGGCGATATTTTATCAGCTAAAGATTGAAATGTTCTAATCAGCATGTTAAAATATTTTTGTAGCGTCAAACTAATAACTATTGACATAGCGTCTTCCTTTTCCTTATATTGCATAGGACTGTTTAACAACAGTAGGAACAGTTTCGTTTTACCACGCGCATACTTAAATAAACGGCAAATTCGTTCTAACACACGTTGGAGACGATTTAAATTAGAAAATTTAGTTAGCCATGCTAAATCAGAATCTTGTATGGTTATTAGGCAAGTTACCGTTGTATTTTTATAGTACGGTAATTGAGACGGTAACAACAGGTCGTAATAATAATTTAGCCATTCATTCTTCGGAAGTTTTAAAAAAGACTTAACCAATATAACTTGTGTGCGATATCATGCTAAGGGAACATACCTATTGAAACGCAATTAGCGGGATTCAAATCAGAAACAACGTGACGTCGTTGACAATTATATATTATATGAAATATATTCAGAAATGTTTGCAATTGTTACGAAGACTTTGAACTGTGAATATTCTGATGTCAATCATGATAACACCACACGTGAATGTGTCCATGCATAAATGTTATCGATAAACAAATTATCTTTAAAAATGTCGTGTAATCGATGCATTAATTGAGCTAATAAGAGAGCTCTACATAATTATAACCGGGGTACAGTTTAAGTTTTATTATTTGTAGTTTTTATTGGCGCCACTATAGATTTCGAAAAAATGAAATATATAGAAATAGTGTTATCCGTGTGTAACAAACGTAAATAAACAACCCCGGCATATCTTTTTTCAGAAGCATCCAAAAATCCAATTAATTGTGCAGTACAAATTAAATTAAATTTAAATTATTCAAATAACGTGTAAATTTAATCTGATTAACTAAAATAAGTTAATCGCCGTATTTTTTCCATAATTCACAAAGTGATTGCGGTAATTGATCGTCTTTATATACTTTAGATTTCCATAATAATTGCATAAATCACTTGCCCCAAAATATAATTGGCCCCAGTGCGCCGATTGGGTCGTATAATTTATCAATGTTTGACAAAATAGCGCGTTTAGAGTAGATTAACGGCAATGATGTTGTATGATAACTAAATGAGTCACTAATGGGAATCCAACATAAAACTAATATTTTAATAGACGTATCGTTTTAGGATCTATCGACCTCGTGAAATTTATACTCAAAGGCACGCTTTGTCGATAAGTCTAAATATAGCGACGTGATATAAAAAGAGTAGAAAACCTCACAAGTCACTTACTTCCAATACTTTCGTTGCACCTACATTCTCTTGAAACGTACTCAAAAAATGTCGTAAACCAGTTAAATCCTCCGATGTTAATTGGGTAAAACGAAATATAGCGTTTAAGTGTTCATTTAATAATACGCGTTTATTATCAAATCTTTCGCGTAAGGCCTTCGATGTAACCTCATAATTAGCATCCATCAAAGATACTGAACGCATAATGGAGGCAGCAGAACCAGTAATAGCGGTTAATAGGTAATGGATTTTTGATAATTGTTCATTATTATGATCTGCAGAAGTAAACGTATCACGAAAAGAACGCCATTGCAGAATATCACCCTCAAAAGTCGGCAATTGTAAATTTTATAAATGTGTAACATTATTAAATGTGTATAGCTGCTCGTATAACGAGTCGCGAGGAACAGTCCGGTTGTTTTACAATGGTCAATGTCACCTATTTACGAGACGGTTACAAAAATGACATAATATGACTGTATATACAACAGTGTCAGAATTTTTCTAAAAAAAACTTGTTACTAAATATTTTTACACGTACATTTTAAAAAATTGTAAGATGTAGTATATTGTAATATACAGAATATTGATTTATCGTTATAGATTTCTTTTAAAATAATAATAGGTTTGAAATTTTTATTTGTTTTATATTATTAATTTCTCGATTTATAAATGCTTAAATATTTTTAAACCTATTTCTTATCGTTTATACTGGTACCAACTTTATTTTTTTTTTAATGTAATCATATATATTTTACTTTAAAAGTTGTTACAGACCAACCATTTTCATAATTTTATTTTGTTTTGCTAAGACATTCTAAAGATCAATTAGGTTCATCGCTACAAAAACAACGCACATCCATTTCTCTCTGTCATTGATACTTCCATGATTCTATCCACCTACCGTTGTTGTCTAGGTCATTCTTTGGGCTGTCTTATATTCGATTACCATTTTTTAAAGTTCTTTATTCCTATAGATCTTTAGTGTATTCTTAAGGTCAAAACACGAGTGATTAAATTAATACTACATTTTGGTATTTATACAGTTAAAATAAGTTCTCTTTGACTTTTTTTATTTAGATAAATTTTATTTATCTTTTATCATATTTTCACAAATATACTATGGTCATCTATATAGTTATTTCAACTAAATTTTTGACTTATCTTAACACATTTTCTAAATTAAAATTCATATAATAATTGAAAAACTATTTATAATTTTGATTCTATTATTATTATTTTTTTAATAATTCTGTTTTAGCATCTGACGACTTAATGATGGATTTCTTTTTGGGTGATATTTCACATGAAGGTTTTAATCGTGGCAAAGAATTGGCTTTGAAGCAAGCTGAAACTGTTAATATTAAAAAATAATCATTTTCTTATTATTGTGTGAAGACTTCAAATTCAAAATACAATAGCTTTTTAAAACTTTAATTTTTTATATTTTATTGTAAAAGTTTTTTCCTTAGAATTGTGCACATCCAGAAAAGTGAATATGTTATGTTTAGATTCTAAAAAACATGTATAATTATCTTAAAAATCAACTCTTATTCTTGAAATTGATTTTCAATAAATATTAGTAATTTATTAAAAATAAAAAATAAATAAAAATGTTCATTTTGTATAGATACACAGACAAAGAAAAAATAAAAACTTTTCCCTAAAATGTGTCGTTAATTTAATATATTCAATTAATTTTATTATTTACACATTGGTGCAACTGCACCAATTAAAAAAAATTATTCAATTGGTAAAAATAAACCAACGTGGTGTACTGATGTTCAGCTACGCTATTTGCTGTTAGTTCCCGGATGTTAGTTTTCTTAGCTATATTGAGGTTGTTTCAGGACGACAACCAGTGTAAAAAAAACTGTCAAATCATTGTAAGGTAAAGTCGACCTTAGATAGTTAGGACAGAAGCTAAGTAGATGATAATGATACAGGTAGCTAATAGGTTTTTTATGGCGTCCATATTTGCAAGTACACAGTATTTATTATCAATGGTAGTAAGGCACATTGTTGTGAGTTTATAAATACATAAACTGGCAATACAGATAGTATATCTATTGATAGTTATAATTGACAATTAACACCGTATATGTGACAGCGACGTCATAAAAAACCAATTAGCAACCTGTATTTGTAATCCCTTATGTATTTTACATGTATATTAACTCAAAAATTTGATACTTTAAATGTTTATATTTAATAAACGAATTAAGTTACATTAAAAATTCAAATGTCATTTACTATTAAATTAAAAACTCAAACATTTTGTTAAATTTAAAATATGTGTTTCCATTTAAAAACACAAAGTTGACATCCTCACAAGGTAGAAGGGATGAACTTAAAAACTATTACATAGTTAATATTTCTAGAATAATGTGTAACTAATGATAACCAAAAAAACAAAAAATGTTTAAATTATATTTATTCTGTAAATTATTTAGTGGGTTATGATAAAAATAATTACTCTGTATATAAACTATAATAATATTAAAATTAACACTCATTAATCTTTAGCTCAAATGTATTAATTATTTTAACTACAAGCCATTATTAGTTCAATAACGACGTTAAAAAATTATAATATTAATATCAAGGGCCCCATTGGAACATTTTGTTCTTCCTGGTCAATTTTTTTTAGACACCCCTTTGAACGAAAAAAAATTAGTAGAATCGTGACCACGGTATTTTTTTTAGTTATGGGTAAAACATAACAAGTGCAATTTTTAGGCTACAAATTTCTACGTAATAACAGAATATTATGAAGTTTCGTAAAAATTTGTCACTCCCTAAAGTGAATCATAAATTTGCCGTCGGGGCAAAGGATAAGACCTGTCTCTTTTCCAAATGTAGGCCTCTTAATACCAAATGTTGATAAATTAATTTCTGATTTCTATGTGTGTACTGTATATACTAAGTGTTCGGTTTATCATAAACCAATCGATTAATCGCAAAATAAATACATTATTGAAGAAATAATAATTTTGCTTTTTTTGGTTTCATATATTTCTTGATTTATCAGCTAATAATTACTTTTTAGAATCATCTTTAATAACTTATAGGAAAAGTGCTGCCAGGAAATAAGTGGTGATAAAAATAGCTGTGCCCAATCCTCACCTCCAGTCTAAATATTAAATTGTTAATAACTTCTAAATATTGGTCCAAAAGTAATTATTGGCCAGTCATTTTTTTAATTACATCTTCTTCTTCTTAATGTGCCGATCCATTTCGGATGTTGGTGATCATCATTGATATACAAGTTTTATTAGGTCGGCTCCGTAATAGTTCTACTGAACTTTTGTCGAACCATGTTCTGAGGTTGGCTAGCCACGATGTTGTTCTTCTTCTTCCAGGCGATTTTTTGCTATTTATTTTTCCTTGTAGGATACATTGGAGAAGATCACATCTGCGCTTATTTCGCATAATATGTCCTAAGTACTGGAGTTTTCTGCATTTAACTATTACCATTAATTCTTTTTCCTTTCCCATTCTACGCAATACTTCAATATTGGTCATTTTCGCAGTCCACGGTACTCTCAAAATTCTTCTGTATAACTGTAGTTCAAATGCTTCTAACTTATTCGAAGTGGCTTTGGTTAGAGTCCAGGTTTCTGCACCATATAAAAGTGTTAAGAACACGTAGCATCTCAGTATTCGCATTTTTAACTGTAGAGATAGGTTGTGGCTTTTGAATAACGCACTCATTGAATTAAATACATTTCTGGCTTTTCTAATACGACACTTTATATCTTCTGCGTTGTCCCATTGTTCGTTAATGACAGTGCCAAGATATTGGTATTTATGTACTCTTTTTATTCTGGTTTCATTCATGCTTAAGTGAACTCCTGTGATGTCTTTCTTGCTTATAATCATGAATTTAGTTTTGTTTGTATTTATATTCAGTCCGTATCTCATGCTAGACTCTGTTATTTTATCCATAAGTAATTGAAGGCCCTCAATAGTGTCCGCAAAAACTAAATCGACATAACGTAAGTTGTTTAATATTGTGTTGTTTATAGATATTCCTTCTTCTACCTCATTTAGAGCTTCTCTAAGGTTATATTCAAAATAAAGATTAAACAAGATGGGTGACAGAATACAACCCTGTCTCACTCCACGTCGAATTTCTATCGGATCTGTTGTTTCATCTTCCATTTTGAGAACCGCCGTTTATTTCCAATATAAGTTGGCAATTATTCTAAGGTCTTTTTCATCTATTTCTATTTCTTCTAAAATTCTAATCATTATATCATGTCTAACACGATCGAAGGCCTTCTGGTAATCAACTAGACAGACAAATACACTACAATTTACATCTCTGCATCTTTGGAAGAGGATCTGTACACTGAACAGTGCCTCTCTTGTGCTAACCGCATTCAAAAACCCAAACTGATTAGGTGCTATTTGGTCTTCACATAGCCTATATATTCTCTTATGAATAATCTTTAAAAACAATTTCAGGAGATGGTTCATCAGGCTGATCGTTCTACAGGGTGTTCAGTAAGTTAGGAAACAGTTAAATTGTTACAAACAATGAGTACAATAGAAATTCGTTCCCTTATTTACTGAACACCCTGTATAATCCCCACATGTGTTTGCGCTCGATTTTTTAGGTAAGGCAATAAACTCGGATTTTATCCAATCCTTAGGAATTATACCTGATTTATAAACTGAATTGAATATTACTGTGGTCCATCTAATTTTCTAATTATTAGATAATTAGATTATTAGATAATGATTAATTACATCATTATCTATAAAATAAGCTAATTAATTATGTACATTACAACCTGAAAAAATAAAATATACACCCTTATAAGTTATAAGGCATGATTCTAAAAATTAATTATTAGCTGATAAATCAAGAAATATATATAACTAAAAAAAACAACATTTCTTTTTTTCAAATAATGTATTTTTTTTTAGAGTAATCGAGGGGTTTATGATGAACCGATTACTTTGTTTACATATTTGGACAAAAAAACTTAATAAGTATTTATTTAATTAATTTTATTAATTAAAATCAAAATCTTCTAAATTTTTCATTATTTTTCCGTAAAAATTACAATATTAAACATTATATATTTTTTTCATACTATATTTAACTGTTATAATAAATATTTATTCATTAATTAATTTTAAATCTCAAAACTACTAATCAGGATATAATTAATGAAATAGGAGTTGATGTTGTTTTTGTAATTATGCACCAATTTCTTAGAAATAAACAGTTATCTACAGATTTGCATTAAAGCGTTACTTATGATAATGATTTAAATCACTGTCACATATCGTCTTTAGTTGTTCCAACCAGTGGCGTATTTTGAATGATTTTTCGGGTGGTGTCCAACTTTTAATGAACCTCAAAAACGAAAATTGTAGAAATGTTTACTGACTTTAAAAAAACTTACTATTTCTCTAATTACTATTTTATGAATTGACAAATAATTTGAAATTTGAAATTTTGGTACTGTTGTATCTTAAAAGAAACAACCCTAGTGTCTTAACTTAAAGTAATAAAAGTTTAATAATAACTCAAATGTATTTATTATAGATATAATTAAACAATGCAAAACATACAAAATAAATATACACTAAAAACACAATAAAACAATACACAAAATGAAAACTTAATGTCATAAACGTACCGCGCGAAAAGAGATTACCTAAAGTTTCAAATTTTTGAGTTAATATACATGTATAATACACATGATGATATGATTACAAATACAGGTAATTAAATGGTTTATATGATATCAATGTCAGAGTCACGGATTGTTTATTATCAATTATGACTATCATAGGTATACTTTCTGTATTGTCAGTTCGTGTATTTATAAACTCACAACAATGTGCCTTACTACCATTGATAATAACAATGCTGTGTACCTGCTAATTTCTTTGAAGTTGTTTTAAACAAAGTAACTCATAACTAAATACTTTATTTATAATAAGTAAACAAATAATAAAATCTCCTTTCAGTATTGATGTTCGTAAATTGCTTGCTTTTGATGATGTTTCAGTGTCATTCCACTTCGAAATTATAAATAACGATTCAATTAGGTACACAAAAAGCTCAAGAAAATCATTGACAGCATAAAAACGTTCAACTCATTTAGTCGCACATAATTGTTTTAATGATTTTTTAGTTATACATTTTTGACTTTCTTCGATTTGACTTTTCAACACATCTTTTCGCTTTGGGTATATGAAAAAATCTCTAACTTTAGATGTTGTTCCTAATCAATTTCATGTTTCTTGTATAGAAGATGAATAAGAATTAGCAAGGTTTAAAACATGAACAGCACAATGAACAAACGTCGCAAGCGGATAACTTTGGTGAATAAGAGATTGAGCTCCGTTAAATTGACCAGACATAGAAGCACATCCATCGTAACACTGTCCTCTAAGGTATTTTGTTTCTACACCAAATGAATGTAAACTTTGAATAATAATATATAAACCTTTTCCAGTAGTATCTGTTGTAGGCACAAACTGAAGAATTCTTCCTTGATAATCATATTTTCAACATCTAAATATCGAACACACAAAGTTACTTGTTCGCTTCCACCAATGTCGGCCGTTTCATCAGCAAGTATTTTGAAACATCTTTGGGCATTTATGTTTGTTACGATTTTATTTAAAATAATTTTATTGCAGGTTTCAATTATTTCATTTTGAAGTGTTTCACTTGTATATTTTATTGTTTCTTCACCTTCCAAAAATGATTTTAAACGGTCATCTCCTTGGGCTCCGTTTCTTAATATTTCTCTAAAATTTCCTTGATTTTCTTGGATAACTTGTCATTTTCTTGATATATATATTGAAGTTACAAAGATAGCCGTTATTGTCAAAAAAATAAATAAATAATAATAATAACATTAAAAATGCAAATAATTAAACCTACNATAACATTAAAAATGCAAATAATAATTAAACCTATAAGGTAGTTAAACCCTAAAGTTATTTTCGATTTGTTAAAGTCGTTAAAATTAATTCAAATCTCCTGTTATTTTCTTTTATCAGAATTATTATGTCATTAATTCAATTATTAATTAAATTGTTAAACTATATTATATATTCAACTTAATAAATTTTTATGTTGATTATAATCGCATGGCATGATGTTTTTTGTTAATAACTAAATGGAAATAGCAATTTCACATGGGCAAAATTTTTAATAGTTGCAAGAGAATAAATCCAAACGTTGATATTTTATTTCATACAGATTAAATTTTATATGCATAAATATTCTGTTAACCGATATCAAATTTATTCCACTTGAACTTTCATAAAAAAATCTCTATCATTTGTAAACTAATGTAATAAATAAACAAACAAATACAAAAGGTTTTTCTTCAAAATATCTTTAAAATATATATATATTTTTTTTTTTGATAATTCTCTGTATTATTCTTAAAATATTGTATTCTTTGACCAATAATACAATTAAAATAAATAAGTATTGTTTATACTAAATTTATTTATAATTGGCTTATACATTTTTTTAATGAATTTTTACAATTAAGTTTCCTTGACAATTAGATGTAAATGTTGATTTTATCGACATTTCAGTTCACTTCGTTTTTTCCCGTGAAAAATAAACTATCGTCTTGTGTAATTATTAAGATTTATTTAATTAGTTATTGATATGGCAAGTGAAAAAAATATTTTTGGTCAAACAAATGAATCAAACTTACATAAGGTCATACGCAGAGTTGAAGAAATATGGAATCGTCGTTTCATGCATTCCAATTGTGTTTTAAATAATACAAATAAAGGACAAATATCAAAAAAGTCAACTAAAGATGGAAGAATTATCTGTAAACACTATTAAGATTAATAATTAAACTAACTATTTCGAATAGAGAAAAAGTTTTTTAATATAAAATATAAGAAAAATTAATAATAAGTTCTCTTATTCATATATAACAATAATTCAATCGCTTTACTTTAATTTAACTATTTTAATATTAAAAACCTTTTTCGAAATTGATTATTTAATTAATAATTATTAAAATTATATTCAATTTGCAGCAATTATTAATAAAAATATTTATCCTATAAAAAATTCCATTATTCCAAAAAAACGCACGTATCGAAAAACGAATAAAAATGATAAAATTATTCCAGAAAAATTGGTAACTATAATTATATTAATATATTTATTCGATTTAGCTATGTTATTGGGGTTTGTCTGATTCAAAAATATAAAATAAACTATCAACCCCCTTAATATAAATGCGGTAACATAATGTTTAATATTATTCTGCTATTTTTTCTATTAGATTTTTATGGGAAATTCAATTTTTATCGAAGATAATAATATAATATTAAGTATAGTTTATTTGTTTATTTAAATATCTCTTTGGTTACCTAGAATATGATGCAGCAAAGAGAATTCGGAACACTTTTTCAGAATGAAAAATCTGAAAAATATAAAAATGAAATTTTAAATTCAACAGAAAAAAAAAATATAGCAATTTCAAAAGACAATCCGCTATTAATATCAGCTGATTTGTTAGAAAAGGTATATTTTATTATGCTTTATTTCAATAAAAAGATTTTAGGGTATACCCTAAACCATTTTTTGGACTTAAAGCAGATTTCTTAAATAAATTTATCATATAATTAAATATATTTTTATGATCCGTTAAGAGTTTTCATAAGAAAAATTTGGAACGCAAAAAATCCGAAATAAAAAAACAACTTTTTGAGATATCTTCTAATACTACTGCTCGACCAAATTTAAAAAGAAATTCATCCGAAGAAGATGAAAAAGTCATAAAAAGTATACAACTTTTAAAATATAATTCATTTTTAAAAAATATGAAGTTTTGATTTTTGAAACAAATATGTAATATTTTTAAACATAAATTATTTTAGAGCCAAAAGTTAGTTCTAATCCTTTGACCTTAAATACGCCGAATGACGTAAATTTACTTGCTCTGTCCACTATTGAAGTAATAAAAGTACCAGAGAAAGAAAAAGGTAATTAGTTATTTAATCTATTTATTTTATGTAAAATTAAATAAAAAAAGATTATTTATTAAACATAATTAATTATAATAATACGAGTTAAATTAATATAACTTCTGCAGAGGCGTGTCATTAAGGGGGTCCATGGACGTTTTAAACAAAAGTAATTATACGTGTTTAATTTCATATTCCAAAACCTTAAATAAACCTAAATAATAGTAAACTGTTCAACAAAGTTTTTTATTAATTTTATGAAAAATGTTTAAATATGGTTACACTTGCAGAAGTAATGCAAGATCAGAACACAAAATCTCTTGATCAGTATAATGCACCTTCATTTAAATCGCCCACATCATGGTATACTTCAGACACAATTAATGAGTACATTAAAATGATAGTAAAACGGTCAGAAGGTGAAGTTTATGCAGTTGTCACTGATTTTATTGTAGCGTATCTTCGAGGAGGTTATCCAGCTGTAAGAAGATGGATAAAAAAAGATATTCACACAATAAAATTACTTTTTGTGCCCATGAATGTATATGGGAGTCATTGGATATTGACAGTGGTTAATATACCTGAAAAGACTGTGACATCATATGATAGTCTTAAGTCGTATAAGGGTCCTTATCCAATGGTATTAAAAAATTTCTTAATTGAATGGGAGATGGACAAAAAAGGAAAAGCTTCTACATGGACATTACAAATAGGCGAGACATCTCGCCAAACCAATGGACATGATTGTGGGCCATTTACTGTTGAGCTGGCAGAAAAAATGTCTCGAGGAGATACAACACCAATAAATGCAAATTTTATGCCTTTTATAAGATTAAGACACAAAAATGAAATTATTGCTGGCGAGCTATTCAATTAATATTTTTATGAATGAAATTTTATTTTTGTATTTTATATCAATTTTCTTAATATTCACTATAAATTGAAATTTTTATTTGTATACCACCAAACATTTTTTTACTTTTTCTATGTTTAATTGTTGTTTTGTTATTTTATTTTAATCTTATTTTTCTTTGTAACATTTCATTTAAGAAATTCAAATTTAATATAAATTTATCTTAACTGAAATAATTTAATGTTCTTGTTATGTGAATATACAAATATTATAATATACAGTTATGGATACAATTAAGTTAAAAAGTCAGCCAATTATAAATTTTTAAATTAACAAGCGTATCTACTATCTTAACAACTTAATTTTAATTTTACTAAATGACGATTCATAAAGAATTTCATAACTTTTGTTTATTTTTTAAATACTATTTTAATTATAAAAAATTCTTTTCTGTATTTTTTATGAATGCGGTATATTGAATAGGGGTAACTAAACTTATTTGTTTATAATTCTCTAAACTGATAAACTATAAAATAAATTTAAAAATGAACTCCAAGTTCAGAATATTTCCGTTGTTATTATATTTTTGCTACGGGTATTTTTGTTATCTAAATGACCCAATGAAATCCAAATAATTTCTAGAAATCTCTGATAAAATGTAGATAAATACGTGTCGTCGAATCCTATCAAATTATCTTCAATTTTGTTATTTATTTAAAATACCATTTATTTTATAGTAAATAAATATAGTATATTATAAAAAAAGTTAATACCAATATATTAGACATTTTTTTTAAGTCGGGGGGTGTCCAGACATGGAGGACACCCCCCCAAAATACGCCACTGGTTTTAACTATACCACGTCCACACTGTGACGCGATCCCACTGAGCTAATATTTTTTAACTTCGGGGTTTACAAATAAAAGATGTCAAAACAATTTTTTTTTACTATATTTCATAAGATATAATTTAACGTATATTTGAAGCTTGGGATATTTCCGGAGCATATTCAAAAGTGTTTGAAACTTTACTTGTATAAGCGGAAATTGTCTGATTCATAATTGAAGAATGTCTAATAAAAGGGTATTATATTAAGTATTTATAAAAAAAAAATTATAATAAAATATTAATATATTTTAATACAAATGCATTTATATTTTACAAAAAGTTATAGTAATTTAAAATATAAAATCGAAAAGTTTAACACAAAAATAGTATGTTTTTTTAACTGCGGTAGTCATTTGCACATAGGTCATCGGGATAAATATTATTTTTAACTTATAGTATATAATATAAGCTTTAATTTAAGATATGTTAAAAGCTCAAAGTATTTTCAAAACATTTTCAAAAGTTAATTTGAACATTTAAATTTTTTATGCGAAAATTGCAATTATGAACCTTTTATGTGGTCAGGTAAAGGGTTAGATTTCAAAAAAATATATATATCTAATAATTTTTAAAATGCCTATTTTATTGTAGTAATTTTTTGGGAGAATATTCCTCATTTACGTGGAACGAGAGAATTTTTTTTAATTTTTAAGAGTAAAGTCTTCAACTAGATACGATAAATGATCTTTTGACGTATTATTGAAGAAATCTTAAATAAGTAATAACAAAAAAAAAAACATTGTGTTCTCTGTTTGGTCGACACCGACGTAATACAGGAAAAATATGAAAATAAAGAATTATAATTAACGCTGTATATTCTATATATAAATATAAAACTTATGTACTCAAGCCATCGACCTATAACAATTGCCACTGAAGCCTACCATTGTCCATTATCACTGCCGGCTACCGTTCACTACTGTTGCTGTCATTTATTTGTATCGCCAACGTCCGACATCGCCGTAGTCTTTGTTCAACGGTCATAATCGTTTGTGCTGAGCTTGGTCTATTACAGTCACCGCAATCGTCACCACCATCGCCATTGATGTTCGCCTACATCGCCGTTGCGAAGTCAGGGTCACTACTATATTCAAGAATGTTGTTAAATGTCATCGGGCATCAGTCATTCCTTCGACCCCCCGACCAACTTATATAAGTAATGGTCATAACGCACACATACATGTATTGTGACATGCCCATGGTAGGTCCACGGTGATAGGTGGAAATATGAATGGATATGTAGGTAATGAGAGGAGGGGTACGAATGAGTAATGAGTAATAATGGGTATAGTTCTTGTAGGAAGAATAAGGCTGGAAATGCAATTCTGGTTTTCGCAGTATTACATAATCTTGTTGTGGTTAATACTTATTTTTGAAAGAAGTAAGAACATTATATAACATATAAGAGTGGGAGTAATAGATCACAGATTAATTATTTTATGTAGAAGAGAGAGAGCGTAAAGCAAGTAATAGACAAAAGAATAAGAGGAGAAACATCAGTAACATAGAACCAGTTTAGTTTTTTGTCTGAAAAGTCAATGATGGAGCTAATTTCTTGTCTGAGACAGCTAATAGAAAAGTATATGGGAAAAGAAGAAAAAGCTGTGTGTGGTATTTATAGATTTGGAGAGTGTATTATAGAGTACCGAGAGAGGTTTTTAAGTGAAAAAAGAAGTCCCAAAAAGCAAAGTTTGGTTAGCAAGTACCGCAAAAACGTTGAAAATTTGATCAAAATTAAATCCTTCAAAGGGTATTTTTCAGTTCTTGGATTTTAATAAAAAAAAATTTGATTTTTCTACGGTATTTCCTATGAAATATAATAAAAAATAATATTTTATATTGAATATTTATTTAAAAAAAAGGCAAAATTCAAATTTTAAGTCAAATAAAATTTACAAGTTCTACAAAATTTGTTTACTGGTAAAATGTATATGTATTGACAATTTTAATCTATTCGATAAACTAATTAATTAAAAAAAAAACATTTCACGTAGAAGTTCTTTAAAATTAATTTTCTTTAAGTTTTGTATAAAAAAAATAGGAGTGGATAGGGTAACTTAGCCCCATTTTATTTTAATGCATTGTGTTTGGAGGGGGGATATTAAATTTAGTCCCCTTTCCCACTAAAAAAAATTTGACCATCCTACGCTTATGATAACAAAATTAATATTCCCCTTCCTAAAAAATTATTTTATTTAATAGTATATACAATTTTGTTATATATATACATAATATCATTATTATAAATTGGATTATTATCACAAAACATTAAATATATTTCCATAAAAATAAGGACAACATATTTTGAAAATATAATAATAATATTAGCTATTATAATGAAATAATGAGAAAATATGTCGAAAATCTAATAATCATACAAATGCTGTGTTCAAAAAGCATTCGTTTTTGTTGACTAGATTGTCGAATTGTTCGATTTATTCGAATTATTCAACCGTAGTGTCAATCACACAAAACATTTTATTCAAAGATTTCGGTTCTCATTATTCAACACCGTCGTGAAATAAACAAAATAATAATAAATAAAATTTATACAAATTACTGTGTTTTAATTTTGTAATTATATTGCTTTATTGAATATTATTGTGAAATAATTAAATAAAATAATTATTATTTAATTAATTCCATTTTAATGATTTTAGAACAACTGAATATTTAATAAAATATTTATATAAAAAGTAGAACAGCTAAAAACAACACAAATAATCAAATATAACTTCATAAACTATTTAAATACAATACAACTATTTTAAAAATTGATATTTAAATTATTTAAATGTAGGTAATAGTTATTGATGAACTAAATATTAAATTACCAGTCTTTATAAGGAAACAGTTAAGTGTACCATACATAATATAGAAATCATAAACATAAGTATGAAAAGTATATACCATTTTATAGTTAACGTAAGTAATATTACTATACAACAATGTTGCCGTTTTAAAATCCTAAAAAATGTGGCGCCTAGGGTCAATATCCAATTTATCTCTCTGCCTTTCCTAATTAAAACTATGATAATAAGAGTTTAAAATGTAGAATCGATAAAGACAAATTGATATTAATATAATCGATTATTCTCTTCGCTAGATCTAGCCAACCATAGATATAGGTAAACTTTTCTGTGTTATCATAACAACAAATATTGTTTTTAATTGATAAAAATCTAAACATTACTCGCAATGAGATCATAAATTCGAATATTGAATAAAATGAAAATTAATCTTTTCAAAATATGTTTTTACAATTGTTTTTGTACTTTGTCCTTTCCATATTTATTTTAACCATCGTACTGTGTTTGTGTATTGTAGTGTTAAGAACCCATTATTCATCTAAAAAAAATAAGTTTCCATCACAATTTAGTGTTGCTTTTTTCCATCCATACTGTAACTCTGGTGGCGGTGGCGAACGAGTCTTATGGTGTGCTGTCAGCGCTGTTAGTGCTGCCTACCCAAAAGTAAAGATTATAATTTACACAGGTGATCTAGATGCATCTCCGATAGAAATTGTCAAACAAGCAAAATTAAGATTCAACATAATTTTGCCCTCAAATTTAGAATTTATATATCTACATAAAAGAAAATGGGTTGAAGCTGAGAATTATCCTTATTTTACTTTATTAGGTCAAAGTATTGGTTCCATTATTTTAGGTATTGAAGCACTTAAATTGTTTCAACCTGATGTTTATATAGATACTATGGGTTATGCATTTACTTTTCCATTATTTTATATTATTGCGAAGTGTAAAGTTGGCTGTTATGTTCATTATCCTACCATAAGTTCTGATATGATGAATAAAGTTGTGCAACAAAGAGGAAAACGCAAAAGAATATCTTATATTAAACTTTTTTACTATCAAATATTTGCAAAATTATATAGTATGGTTGGGTGGTTTTCAGATTCTATAATTGTAAATAGTTCCTGGACTGAAGACCATATTAAATCACTATGGAAACGATCACTAAGTACTCATAAGGTATATCCACCTTGTGATACTTCTGATCTACAATGTATACCTTTGGAAAGAAGTAATAAAAAATCTATTAAAATTATAAGCTTAGCTCAATTTAGACCAGAAAAAGATCATCCTTTACAACTTAAAGCTATGTATCATCTTAGACAATTGGTGACAGAACATCTCTGGGAAAACATAGAATTAGTATTCATCGGATCTACTAGAAATCAAGAAGATAAAATGAGAGTTGTTGACATGATGGATTTATGTAAACACTTGTCATTAGAAAATAATGTTAAGTTTAAAGTCAATGTAAGCTATGAAGAATTAAAACAAGAATTATCAGAAGGTAATTCTCAATATTTATCATTAAGCTAGCTATTGCAACCTTTTTTGATCCAAAATTTACAACTTATATGAACCATTATTTTAAGATTAAATAAATTAATAATAAGCAATATAGAAATTTACTTTTTGAATTATAAATCATGAAAAACTATAAAACATTTCAAAAGAAAAAACTATATTTTTGAAGATGTGTCAGACGCATAAAACTTAAAAGTTTTAGTATGAAGATTTGGGAAAAAGTAATAAACAAAAGAATAAGAGGAAAAACACCAATAACATAGAACCAGTTTAGTTTTTTGTCTGAAAAGTCAATGATGGAGCTAATTTCTTGTCTGAGACAGCTAATAGAAAAGTATATGGGAAAAGAAGAAAAAACTGTGTGTGGTATTTATAGATTTGGAGAGAGTGTATTATAGAGTACCGATAGAGGTTTTTAAGTGAAAAAAGAAGTCCCATAAAGGTACATTAATATATTTTTTTTATTACGTTATTAAATGCGATATGATGTAAGCTTATATGTGCATAGATGTTGTGCGATATAGTGTCAAGTAGGAGTTTAATAAAGATGGCCAACCACAAGTAGTTGGGATAAAAATTATCAATAATTTTGTTATTTATAAATATATATTATATCATATTATATAACATTGTCATACATGACTAAAATATATTAAACTATAGGTAATACTATACATATGCATTTTACATGATATGTATAGTAAGAGGTGGTCCTTAGAATATGAATTTTTGAAATTTGAATTATGCACTCCCCTAAAATTGTTATACTGTATTTATAAAAATAAGTAAAGCAAAGTTTGGTTAGCAAGTACCGCAAAAACGTTGAAAATTTGATCAAAATTAAATCCTTCAAAGGGTATTTTTCAGTTCTTGGATTTTAATAAAAAAAAATTTGATTTTTCTACGGTATTTCCTATGAAATATAATAAAAAATAATATTTTATATTAAACATTTATTTAAAAAAAAAAGGAAAAAGAAAAAGAGTTGTGTCAGACACGGTTTATTATTATCCCTGAAATATTAGTAATATAAAACCTATTTTTATACAACGTTTATATTTCTTTATGGGTTTCTTAACTTGCTTAAAGAGGGTTGCTAAGATCTTTCATTAATTTAATATTTTTTTAATTAATTCTTTTCGTTTTATTATTATAAATAGGTTTTATAGGATTACACTCTATGTGGAATGAACATTTTGGTATTGGTATTGTAGAATGTATGGCTGCTGGTTTAATAATGGTTGCTCATCGATCAGGCGGGCCTTTAATGGACATTATTATAGAGGAGGGTGCAGGACAAAATGGATTTTTGGCAACTAATGAAGTGGAGTATGCACATGCTATTCATAAAGCTATACTTTTGACAGATGAACAAAAATTATCATTACAAAAAGCTGCAAGAGGATCTGTTAATCGATTTTCTAATGATCAGTTCAGGGATAATTTCTTACGAGCTGTACAACCATTGTTTAGTTCAAAAAAATTAACATAATCAATAAAATGTTGGCATTTTATAATTAAGAAATGTTATTTTATTTTTTATTAAAAAAAAAAATGAAAACCAGTTATCTTAATAAAATATTATTCACAATTTATACAGCTATTATTAAATTTAATAGACAAATAATTTCATGAGAAATAAAATATAAGCTTAGTTTAATTTGATAGCTTATTTAGACTGTGTTTTATGAAGCTAATATTAATGTTATATCTAAACCTAAAATCTTACTTTGGTTCATTAATTTTTTTAGATGAGTTAAAAGCAACCCAAAGATTGCCTAAATTAGAAAAAATTAAAGTCACATTAAATAGACTATTAAAATGTGCACTATTTATATTGGCATTTATTTATTGAGTGAAATGACACTTGATGTATACAATTTGACTGTAGATATTATAAAGAAGGGAGAGATGGACTTACTATGGGAGTAGAGTTCAATGTCTCACTGATCTATTATTGGAAAGAACACAAAATGCTTGATGGAAATAATGTCAGTGGCCAAGTTTTATAACCAATAAAAATTTATGATTAATTGACATAATTATTGTTTGGTTATAGGTGATTTATGGAATTATAAATAAAACACTAATATAATTAAAGACAGCTCTTTAAATATTTTTGTTAGGTAATACACATTAAATTCTAAGAAATAAAATAATAAATTTAATAATGTTTAATGAATATTGCTCTTTGTTTTCAAATTTTTTAAATTACAAACATTTATAAGAAAATCAAATTAAGTCTATTATAAGAAAGATAAAATATACTATTAAACATGGTGAAAAATTCATTTAAAATTATAAAATTAGATTTATATTAAATTACAAATTTATTTATTTTTATAAATTATAGATAAACTAGAATTTTCACAGCCCTTAATTATACAAGATCTGAAAAAAAAATAATTTTAATAAAATATTAACACATGAAATAGTTTACTTAACTAATGTAAAATATTAATTATTAATTAATATGAATTTGATTACTGTTAGTTCTTTTTTAATCCCATTAAGGGCAATAGCAAACTCTCCAAAAGGAAAGGTTTACTGAACCATTGATACTCTGAGACGGGTGGTTAGTCTGACTTTGGAGAGAGGGATGGCGGTGACTCCAATTACCGAACTGATGTCTCACTCAGTAAATGAAATCGTAACTATTAGTCAAGTATATACAGATAGTTTGAATGTATGTTATACATGGGGGAGTACAGCCCTATTAGATTCCTTTTGGTAAATTACTAAGTATAAATGAATAAAATTATTAATAATCAATTTTTTTCAAACTAAATAATACATTTCATTTAATTACTCTGAAATGAAAAAAATAAATTTTTTTCACTTCATTTAGAATATAAGTTCAAAACTACAGCTTTCATGATCATTGTTTGTAAATAGTTATTTTTTTTACAAATTATATATTCCTAGCAATCCACCTAGACTTTCTTAGTTTTTCTGCAGTCTGTTTAAAAATTCTTAAAAGAGAAAAGGGGTAATTATGGCTTAACCCTTTATATTTTTTCAAATTTAATAATTTGTGTTAGAATAAAATCTCATATATAGGAATAAAAAATAAATAAATATTATAATAAATAAAATGTATAGCAGTAAAAAACACATTATATACCTATTTTCAGATTTTAATAGTATAGTTGGATATGGTTCTGTATCATCTATTTTTGATATTTGATTAGTAATGTAGGTAATATGACCACTGGCATCTGAGTTTCCTTCACCTGAATCTATAGTATTTTTCAAAAAAAATATATATATAAACAAATTTTTTACAGAGTTGTAAGCTAGTGATGATAAAAAGTGAATTAATAAACTTCATTTTTGAAAAAAAATTTTAATTAAATTTTTGAAATTAGCATTTGAAGTTACAATTAACAATGTATTTAAAAATTTAAAAAAAATCTATATTATTGGATTAACCATACCTCCAAATATATTTGGATCACTGTATATTACTGTTAGGTTATATGTACCCAAAATTAGAATTCTAATTCTAAATTCTAGAAATTTCTTGGATATATCATCTTAAGCTATAGCAATGCTACAATTATTATTAAAAATATTACTATACAATAACTTACGAAAAATACACAGCCCTTTGTTGTCAGAAATTAAAACCCCTGTCACATTTGGTTCAGACTGTCTGTAAATAATGCTACATGATTTTTAAATGAATCTATGAAAAATATTATCTATAAATAATTTTTTATTTAAACCCTTTTAATTTTCAAAATATTATAATATAACCTGTTGGTCTACAATTAGTAACTTGCTAATCAGGTTAGTGTCAATTAATTATCATTATCACTAAAAATGGTATGCATTTATAAATTGGAGGGTCCTAAGTGTGTGCGATTTTGCCATAGGATTATATAGTAACACAAAAATATTTTTCCTTTTGGAGAAGATAAACCCAACCAAAATTATAAAATCAGCAACAAAACCTTACTAAGTTTTCAAGTCAATTAATAAAAACTTGTACTGTCTGGTTACTTAATGTCTAGAATAACTTAACAAAATATATATAATTTCTAGCCCTAATTATTATAAATAAAATAAAATTTTGAAAATTTTAAAACGTAATATAAATACATGGTTTGAACTGATTTTCCTACATAGAATATAGGATTCTCTTAAAAATGGTTTGTATATTGTGTTATGCTTACATAGGTCATATTAGAATTGAGGAAACTATTATTTATAACAGTAGTAATCATATTTAAAAATTACTATAAAAATTATTTTCTAAATAAAACTCGGGAGAGCTGTTTTTGCTTAATTTTTCCACAATTACTATAAAATAATTTAATAAAAATATTATAATTTACAATATATAAATTTAGGAAAGTACTAGCACTACTAAATATATACTGATTTTAAGTATACACTATTTAGAAAAAAACATTGATGCTGTAAGGCCTTCTAAAAATTTTTATGATGCGCATTGAAGATTTTTAACTTACAATTTTGATACTTCTTCCAACATAGTCTGTTCCATTGTAAATAATAAACTAATTTAAATTAAAATATATAAAAAAATGATTAAAGCCTACTCGTAGGTATTTTTAAAAATATTATTAGTCATACAAAATAAAAAATATTAACACAGCAAAATAAATGAAATATTTTATAATAAAATTTTTATTAATAAATGATAATTTATTAATGTATGAATAATGTATAAATAATGTGTTATTATCACAAAATAAATTTTGTATTATCTTATATCGCATTCAGCATGTAAATATATTACATGTAAACATTTGGTAACGGAATAAATGATTTAAATATCAGTTTCAATATATTCTATATTATTTATTGAATAAATATATATAATATATGTTTTCTTGATTTTTTTTTATTAATAGTGAATAATAACTGCACATATTTAGTATAATAATTTATATCTGAATTGGGTCATTCACCATCAAACATATCTAATCACTTAATAATTCGTAATTTTCCTGTGTGGTGCGCTGCGTTTGTCAGTTGTATAAGGATAGTCAGTAACTAACTCAGTGACTTGTCCTAGTTACTCATGCTATTAATAATAGTCTAGAATTAGATAATTTTTGCTTTTATTTATTATTTATTATATGTATTTTTTTAAATATAATTTTATTTTCAAATAGTTTATACAGTTTTTTTTTTATTGTAATTATCATGTTAAATACAGGGTATGCTTTTATAGGATTGTGTTGACAATAATTATGTACTAAAAATACTGGTTATTTTTAATAGAAAATTATCTGGTCTTACTGTATTTATTACTGGAGGAAGTCGTGGTATTGGTAAAGCCATAGCCATTAAAGCAGCAAGAGATGGTGCTAACATAGTCATAGCTGCCAAAACAGCAGAACCTCATCCTAAACTTCCTGGAACTATTTACACTACAGCTAAAGAAGGTGACATACATTTTATTTAAATTAAGTTTCTTGGATATAAAAATAGTTTAAAACTATTTGATTATCTAATAGGTAATATTATTTAATGGTTTTTAGCAATGCATTAAATTTTAGTGTTTCTACAATTTTTTTTTGTTGTTTCTAGGTGTTTTAAATAAAAATGTATTTTTACCATTAATATATTGTTTGCATCAAAATCTGTTGGCCCTAATTATATTTCTGTATTATGTTTTCAATATATTATAATTTTAATATATTACTCTCATATCAATGATATTAATTATTTCACTAAATATGTAATATCTTGAAATAATAGGATCATAGTTGCAATATGAGCAAACCAGAAGAATCATTGCTCCATTTCTATCATAGCCTCCTTCAAAAAAAAAATCTGATTAAATATATACAATAATTTCATATTAAAATATAGTTATAATACTAATATAATAATAATAGCAGGTTTTAAAAATATTTATTTAACAAAAAAAAGACCAAAAATATAGATGTAAATAATTGAAAAGAAATTATAACCATATGAAAAACTGACTTTTTACACCAACATATTTTTGTTAAACTACAGAGGCCATTCTCGCAAAGATGATAATGTTTTGTGACAAATTTTTTTTAACTTGTATGAATTATAAGTTTTAATTTGATATATTTTTAAAGTTCACAGTATTTCTGGAACATTTTCAAAAGTTAAGTTAAAAGGTTAAATTTTCATGGAAAAGTTACTATTTTGAATAATCCCTGTAAGCATGTAAAGAATTAGATATTCCAAACATTAATACCAAATAAAAGAGAAATACCTAATGTATTTATTAAAAAAAATTGTTATGATTCATCAATTATAAAAAAGATATGATATTTTTAACTAAAAATTATTTGAACAATGTAGATTTTAAAAACTAATTTTCTTGGCGATTTTCCTTATTTATTGAGAACAAAGAAATTCTTTTTTAATGTTTTAAGGTAATGATCTTTAATTAAATACTGTTTTTAATCTTTTAACATATTGTTTAAATATAATAAGAATTGATCACTTGTGTTTAGCGTTGAAAATGGTAATATTGTTTCTGAAATACGTATCCGCAAGTTTTCAATAATTTTTTTGTGGCTTTTGAGTTTAATATTTTTAGTTATTTAAATTAATAATATTTTTAATATAGTTTTAATTTTATATTGTTAAAAATTTGTTATAATGTTAAAAAGTATGAATCTAGTAAGAGATGAGAAAAAGTAGCAACAGACATATTTTTTCATAATAAAACTAATACCTTGTAAGCTTTGCTTTAAAGGTAAAAGATAAATATGCGTAGATTTAAAAAGTCTAAAAATGAATGATTTAGTTTCTTTTAAGTGTAAAATGAGTATATAAATTTTAAATGGAAATAGGAAATTTTGTTGAATAATAGGTTATAAGAATTTGGTGCATAACAAATAAATAATTTTTTGATTTGATTAAGATTTATTATTGCACTTTTAATAATAATTAATATGTAAGACAATATACAATGTTTTTTTATCATTATGATTCATTTTGTTGTACAGTGCAACTTAATATTATAAATTATTATAAAATGACCCTAATACTTAGTTAATTAAGATTATGTTTCTTTATTATTTTAGTATTTTAGAGGGAAATAAATTAACATGTGTCAAAATAACCTATATAAAATTATAATTTTTCTTGAAAATGAAATTCAATGATACTAAAATGTCAGTAATTATTATTTTCAAATCTGTGATAATTTATTTAATATCTTAATAAACCTATAAAATTAATTTTTTCTTTTTAATTTTTCATTAAATTATTACTATTATCATAATCTTATGACAAATATTTTTATACAATTTAATAATAATGTTTTTATAAATAAAAATAAAATTATAATTTAATTATTTTAAGATGTGTTAGACCTGAAAATAAATGTCAAAATGAAGTCAGAAATTTGCTATTTTCATTTGTTTTCTAAATGGGTTGCAGTGACCAATAATCTATTGATTTTGGGATTTAAGGCTATTTCATAATTAAGAATATTAGTTCAGATTTTTAAACTATTTAAAAGTTTAGTGAAATAATTTTTGATGACTAGAACCATACATTTTAATTAAAAAGTGTAGTGCTAACTTTTGTTAATTATATAAATGTGATTTTTATTGTTTAGTTGAAGAAGCTGGAGGAAGATGTTTACCTTGTGTTGTAGATGTTAGAGATGAAGGACAAGTTGTAGATGCTGTTAACAAAGCAGTAACCAAATTTGGTGGAATAGATATTGTTGTAAATAATGCCAGTGCTATATCATTAACAGGAACTTGTGAAACTGATATGAAAAAATATGATTTGATGCATAACATAAATACAAGAGGAACATTTTTAGTGTAGATTAATTAAAAATTTTAAATAAAATCAATGTTATTGGTTTTATTTGAAATTTTTTTTTTTTTATTAGGTCAAAAATGTGTATACCTTATTTAAAAAAAAGCAAGCATGCACATATTTTAAATCTTAGTCCACCTTTGAATTTGAATCCAATTTGGTTTAAAAATCATGTTGCTTATACAATGGCAAAATATGGAATGTCAATGTGTGTTCTTGGAATGTCACATGAACTCAAAGAATACAATATAGCTGTGAATGCATTGTGGCCAAGAACTGGTGATTTAAAAATTATAAAAAAGTCAGAATTTAATATGAATCTGATTTTGATCTTATTAGAAATGTTTCAACACTAAATTTTTTATTATTATTATACAAAATATGATAAATATGAAACATGCATATTAAATATGAAGTATAAATGTTTTTTGTTTCATATAAATAATAATTAACTGTTTATCAATAAAAAAATGTTTTTATTTATATGGAATTAGTCTGAGAATTTATTTTTTAACAACCTTTTATTCTTTAGGTATTTATTCTGCAGCTCTTGAAATGTTGTCTGGGCCAGACTTATCTAAAAAGGTTTCTCGTAAACCAGAAATAGTTGCAGATGCAGCTTATGCTATTTTATGTAGATCGGTAGAAAAGTGTACTGGACAATTTTTAGTGGATGATGATGTTCTACGAGAAGAAGGAATAACTGATATGGATCAATATAAGAGTGATCCAAGTGAGTATTGAAATTTAGTAATTATATATTTTTTTGTTTGATGAATTATACATTTTTATATTTGATATCTAAGACAGTATATCGTGGGTACTAAGGTACCTCTATTTGAATGTGTTTATTATTATTTGAGCAAAAAACATCCATCAGATCATAAAACTCAATTAGGTTACTGAATAAAGAATTTTTTTGTAGTACCCCTCATAGAAAATTTTTCAATAAACTCTGTTTAGGTAAAATATAATTTATTTACATCTATGTAAATAAATATTTATACATTTTTAATTTAAATATTATAATCAGACAAAGGGTTTCATTGTGTTTTTATATTGTTAAGTGATTTGTATACGATTCTTAAAAAAAAGGTTTAATAAGGTATGGGACAAAAGTCCAAGGTTGGTATAGTCTAGTCAGCTATTCTGTTTGGGGACTTTGGATGACTGTTGACAGGCACTTAGGTCTCATTTCCAAATCACGTTTTATTATTTAGTAGTTAGGTAATTGGTTTTACACTAGTTAGGTGAATAAAATATATGAATACAAAATGTGATAGTATCAACCACGTGACTAGTACTATGTTGGACAGAATTTGTCAATTCATTAAATTTAATGCTTTATTTATGAAATTATTTTGTTTTCCATTACAAATAAAAATTATTTTGAAGATAAATATAAATATCTGAGCATTAAAGTAAGACTGAAAATATATTTAATATTTTTATAAATAAAATTTATAAATGTTATATTTGTCAGTTAATATGATATAGGATATAATAATATGATAGTTTATATCATGCTTTTGAAATAAAGTTATTAAATTGAAAATTTTGTTTTTTCTAGATTATAGTGGAGAACTCATGTTGGACTTCTTTTTAGATGGTGTTTCCCATCATGATGGTTTTACTGAGGGTAGCAAAGTTTCTTCTAAAGATGAAAAAACTAATGGAGGTGAAGATACTATTGAAAAAATATTCATAAAAATCAATACTCATCTTACTCCTGAAGTATCAAAAGGAACAAATGCGTGTTTCTTATTTGTTGTTAAAGGTTTTTATTTTTTTTAATAGCTAATTAAATATTAATTATTTAAAAATTTTATGGATTTATTGTAGTTGAATATTTTTAACTAATAATTATTAATGTTTAATTAACAATTGTTATAGATTCATTTTATTAACATTATTCTTTATTCATTTTATTTAACTTGATGAACAATTCAATATAGTATTTTTATTTCTTTTGTGCTACATAAGTTTTTTATGATATTTTTGAAAATAACCATTATTTAAATTGTAAATTGATTTTAAACTATAGACAATAGTTTATTTGTTATAAATTTATATTAAATAAAACGAATAGGCTGTAAAAGTGATGAACTAATAAAAATTTATTGTTAGATTTTTTTGGTTATAATTTTAGATTATATTTTTTTAAGGCGATGAAGATAGAACATACTTTGTTGATTTGACTGGTGATGGATCTGCAGGAAAAGGAAAACCCGTTACTAAACCAGATGCCACATTAACAATGGAAGCCGATAAACTTGAAGAATTATTTGATGGTAAGTATATTTTATTTTATGTTAGTGTTTGATAACTAATAATATTTTAATAAAACTATTTTAGGTAAGCTTAAAGCAGCTGATGCTTATATGTCTGGCAAATTAAAAATATCAGGCAGTCTAATGAAAGCTATGAAATTGGAAAAATTAATGAAGTTGTTAAAAGCAAAGTACTAATAATATTTTTTAAAACTTATTTGTTAACGTTTTAATAAATTAGGTTTAATATCTGGGGATGAACATATTATTAGTTTAATTATTGTATCAATACTGTGTCAAATTAATCTTAAAAATTTAAATAATGGGTTTGATAAGAAATAATTTGTAATATTTAGTTAAATTTTTTATTTTAAATCATTTCATATGGCTCAAACTAAAAACTTTTTTAAAATTAGCTAATAAATTGTTATCATGTTTAAGACTGAGCTAATATCAATAATTTTTACAAGTTGAGTGTCAAATATAATTTATTTTATTACATACTCTATTTTATAATTTTTTAAGTATTCAATTTTAATAATTATTAATTTTTAAATGATCACAAGTTGAATGAATATTTTTCAGTAATTCAAGTACTCCTTCTTGACCATGCATGAATGGTCTTTGTGATTTGTTAGTTGTACAAAGAATGGCTAATTCATACATTTTGATTCCTATATTTAAGTTCCAACATCCAGCTCGTTTGTCTAACAACTCATTAATAGGACGTTCAATTTCATAAATATGAGTTAACTAAACATAAAAATAGCAGAAGTTATATAAATAATTATTTTTTTCACCAAAACTATTTTCTAATAAATATAAACATTGATTATTACTAAATCACATCCTATTCGAGATTTATCATAAGGAGGTAGTCCTGTTAACAATTCTAATAATACTATTCCAAAGCTAAAAACATCCATTTTCACTGAAATATCACCTCTAAAAGCTTCTGGTGACATATATGCAGATGTGCCAAAAACTACAGATGTCATGGTATGATCTCCAACACGTGTTAATCCAAAATCACCAATCTGAGGAAAAATTAATGTTATAAAAACAAATATTGTAATAAAATTAAGATCTTACATTACTTTGGCAATAAATTTACTATTAAGAAGAATGTTAGCTGTCTTAATATCTCTATGGATAATAGGGTTTTCAAAATTTGTATGAAGATAAACCAAACCATTAGCTATGTCTGAAGCCACATTCAATCTTAACATCCAATCAATTATTGACACTTCATCCTTAGAAAAAACTGAATATTTAAAATATTTTTTTCAATAATACCAATTATAACTACAGACTTTTAATGAAAGGCAATCCAATAATGACCCATTTTCCATAAATTCATAAATTACACATGGCTCTACATCACATGATATAGCCAGCAAAGGAAGCAAATTTTCATGCTTACATTTGATAACTATTTCTATTTCTTTTAAGTACTGATCAAAATCTTTTTTATCAAAAACTTTATTCATACGTTTTATAGCTACTTCACAATTATTAATACTTCCTTTATATACCTTTCCAAATCCACCATTACCAATTAAACATGAATTTGAAAATCCATCTGTGTTATCATATAGATATTTATAAGGCACTTCAATATCACTGAATCTTAAAATAAAGATAACTAGAATGTAATGATTGAGTTATATAAATACGTATCATTATAGAATGATTAATATATAATTAGTTTGAATTTAAACAACTTTAATTTGAAGATGATTAATTTATTATATTACAACAGAAAATATTTAATAAATAGGAGTTCAAGCTATTTGAGATATTGAATGATTTAATTGTTGATAAATTTATGTGCAGACCTTTTATTGTTTTTGATAGTATTAATATCGGAGCATGACAGATTAACATAAAAAGTAGACCTAAAGTCTTCACTGTTATATGAACAAGTTAATTGGTCAATAATTGAAACATCTATTGATGCTGATGGGCCTTCTTTAGGCCTATCAGGTAATTGTCCTGTACAAAAATAAGTATACAGTTTAGTTAAATTATTTAAATGATGTATGTTTACCATTTAAAATCTTGGAAGTTACATATTCAGCAGCCCTCAGTAGTTTAGCTTTTACTAAAAATTCTGCTAATGTCATAAGATTAGGTCTTCTCCTGCCACTTGTGCCCCATTCTTCAAGAAATATTTCACTACAAGATCTTCGCTGAGTATGTCCAGCTATCTCTATACGACTAGTTAAGAATTTATAAGTTTATAATTATGACATCTTAAAAAATACATTACAATGTTGAAAAATATATAACTTACTTTATATGATCAATTGTGTACTTTAAATCACTGTAAGGACTACAGTCAACTGTAATTACAGACATAAGCTGCTTCCATCCTTCATTAATATCCAACAAACTAATTAATTCATACCTGATAGCAGCATCCATTTTACGAACTTCTAGTAATCCATCCATAACTGTCATTAAACTATAAATAAGGTTATTTAATATATTATTGAATAAATAAAAATAATTCTTTTATCTTTGTTCTTATTATTAATGCTGTAATTAAACTTAATTTTATTTACATGTGGTGAATACTAATAATAATACCTGAAATTAAGTTTAACTCATTATTCACAAAGAATGTTTTAACATTAATATATAGTATTAAGTGTTTAGTTAATGACAACACTAGCTATATATCAAAATATTATACAAAGTTTAATTGTTTATTATTGTTAGTCAACGATAACGACACCAGCCTTTGAAAAAAGAAAATGTGGGAAAAACATCAAACGTGTCCAAGTGATGAGTAAATATTCAACAGTTGGCTACTCTATAATGTAAATCTATTTATTTTACTCATACTGATAGTGATTTTATCATGTATTATTTAATATGATAACCATAGACTTTTACATTGATGTATAAAACTATAATGATAACCCTATCGAATGTTGCTACTGTCTTGATGTGGGACGTTAGTGGCAAGGATATTAACTCGATGTGTTACAGTATTTATCTATCCCGGTTCGTCCACGTATTATGAGTTAATAATTATTAGTACTTTAATTCATAAAATTAAGTATTTTTATTTAATTAATTCCTTTACCAAAAAAATGTCAATAAGCAAAATTACAAACTGTTTACCAAAAACTAGAGTATAATCCAAATTTGTTAAACCATTCTAAAACTAAAACAACTGTTAACAACTATTATTTATTGAATGAAGATATTTAATCTATAATTAATCTATATTTTTTTATGATGGCTCTTAAAAAAGTTAGAGGTAATATTGAGAGGATGTTTGACAAAAATCTTACAGATCTTGTACGTGGTATTCGTAATAGCAAAGAAAATGAGGTGAGCATCATTCAAATAAAATTTAAGTTCATAATGGATGTATTGTACTTAGTATATTATATATACAGCATAAATATTTTAACACTACTTGATTTATCTTAAAATAATAATTAGATTAAGAAAATGTATTGTTTGTATTTTTTAGTTTCATATATTTCTTGATTTATCAGTTACTTGTTTTTTTTTTTTAATATCATACATTATACCTAATAAGGGAGTCAACTTTATATTTTTAAATTGTATTATACATAGTTAACTAGCTTATAAAATAAAAAATGATCTCTTTAAATAAATAACAAAATCATTTTTGAATGATTTTGTTATTAACCAGTTATTTATTTAAAGAGGTCATTTTTTATTTTATAAGCTAGTTAACTATGTATAATACAATTATTATCAATAATGAATTATTCTATATATTATGTTATCATTATAGGCCAAGTACATTGCTCAGTGTATGGAAGAAATTAAACAAGAGTTACGACAGGAAAATATTGCAGTTAAAGCTACTGCTGTGGCCAAACTTACATATGTAACATAAATAATATTTAATTACTCTTATTAAAATAATTATGAAATTTATGTTATGTTTATAGCTACAAATGTTGGGTTATGATATTAGCTGGGCTGGATTTAACATTATTGAAGTCATGAGTTCCTCAAAATTTACATATAAAAGAATTGGGTATCTTGCATCATCACAGAGCTTTCATAGTGAAACAGATGTATTTTATTGCATCATTAAAAAATCATTTAATGTAGATTGAATTAATAGTGTAATCTTTTTTTGAAATTTTAGTTATTAATGCTTACAACTAATATGATTCGAAAAGACTTAAATAGTCAAAATCAATATGATGCTGGTGTTGCATTATCAGCTTTAGCATGTTTTATAAGTCCAGATTTGGCAAGAGATTTAGCTAATGATATTATGACACTGGTTAGATGAATAATTTGTTCTATTTATATAATTGATATAAGCTTATATATATATATATATATATGGTTAATATAGTTAACATCAACAAAGCCATATTTAAGAAAAAAAGCTGTACTTATGATGTATAAAGTTTTTCTTCGTTTTCCTGAAGCTTTACGGCCAGCTTTTCCACGACTTAAAGATAAATTAGAAGATATGGATTGTGGAGTACAATCAGCTGCCGTTAATGTAGTTTGTGAATTGGCCAGAAAAAATCCTAAAAATTATTTGAGTTTAGCCCCAGTTTTCTTTAAACTCATGACTTCATCTACAAATAATTGGATGTTGATAAAAATTATTAAATTGGTAATGTTGCTTAATAATTTTATGTCTTTCTTCTTCTCCCTTGCCTTTATCCTAACTATTTGGGGTCGGCCATCCGTATCCTAAATTTCTTGACAGAATCTCCTACATCATCTATATACACATCAGCAGTCCTCATATTAACCCAAATTATATCCAACCACCTCTTGTTTGATCTTCTTCTTTTAAAATTCATTTTCATAACTGTTCTTACAGCTTTCAATTTCTCTCCTCATAATATTATCTAACTATCTAAGTCCATTTTCCTCATGTTATCAACAATTGACACTACTCCTATGCTTTCTCTTATATATTCATTCCATATCCTATATTCTTTTGTCACTCCACTTATCAGTCTAAGTATTCTCATCTCTGCTACACTTATTCTTTGCTTAATAATTTTATATATTGTTATTAAAATTATGAGCAATTTTTTATAGTTTGGTGCATTAACTCCATTAGAACCACGTCTTGGTAAGAAATTAATAGAACCGCTTACCAATTTAATACACAGGTATGTTATAAGATTTCATCAATTGAATAAAATTAATAATTAATAAATAAACTATTTTATTTAAAAATATAATTTTTCAAAAAAATGTATAAACGAAAATTTTTTTCAAATTTCTATTAGTCATAATAATTAAATATTCTTGTTAACCCAGATTACAAATTATATCAAGCCAAAAACTTTTACTCTTTATGTTCTCTCTAGCTTGCTGGAATATTTTAAATATTGAAAAATTAAACTAAATAAGCTTAATGAAATATAAGTATTTTTAAAATTAATTTGTAAATGAAGGTTTTGGTTTGATGTGCTTTCAGCTATTAAAGCTGATATTTAAGCAAGACTTAAATTTCATTAAAAGCCTAAATTTCTTTAAAGCACAATTGATAAAGCCATATCTCTTGTGTTAGATAAAAATTATTGTTGCCATTTATAATATTTGTCAACCAATATTTTTTTGTTTTCTATATTTTATGAAACCGTATCAGTTGAAACCAAAACAAAAATGGTAAATGCTTTAAGAAATATAGAACCATCATCAAATATAGTTTCAAACTTTAAGAATTTAATAGATTTTCCAAAATATGCTCATATTTTTAGAAAAAGATATTGAATCATTTATAAGTGATAATTTGTATCAACTGTTCAACCGCTTTTATATTTATATAGAATTTTTAAAAGTAATTTACCCAAATAAAAGTTATCAAACAGCTTTATTAGTAGAAAAATTTATACCAGTTACAAATGATTTAGCTGTTTAATTAATGGAAGATTATAAGAATATTATAATGAAAGAAAAATGTCAAAAATAGCTGTAGCTTCTACAAGTTATATCTATTTACTGAAAAAAAATTCCCAGACCCTAATAAAGCAATGCTAATATGTATCATATTTTAAATATACACTTTAGTTTTTTTTAGTAACGCTAAATAATCGAAAAAATCTATTTTATTATAAATCTGTAATTATTTTATAGTTTCTTTTTAGTGCAGTTATATTTATGTATTTTTTGTGTAATCTAAAAAATAATTTTTGGTGGTATAATTTTTAAAAATTAATTTTTTATTCTAAGTGTTGTAAAATTACTTCATTAAAATTTAATTGATCTATTTTATGTATCTTTGTACTATATTTGTAAAAAAAAATGTTTTTCGCACTCTAATACTCGAATGTTTGAATTACTCTTAGTAAAAAAAAATAAAACGCATAACAAAAATAATAAAAAATTAACTTTTATGTGAAACTTTTTACTGTATGTCAAATAATTTGTAATATTTAAATAAACTAATAAAATCAATTTCAACAGTTATGATAAAAATATGTAAATTTTTGTTTATTTTTGCCTAAGTATTATAAATTTTCTTTTTTTGCTAATATATTTTACAGCAAACCTTAGTTCTAAAATTTTTTTTGTAAGTAGTATAGTTTGTAAGATAATTGATGAAAATCGTAAAACTACCGTTATAGCCAAATTTTCAAATCTCGTGCGTCACGTGTTAACATAACTCAGTTTCATCCCAATTTTGTACAAACTATTTTTTTTATTTACCTAAAGGAACAATTCTTGAAGGTGTATTGAATGAACTTTATTTTTAATTAATCTATATTTTACTATCATTGATTCAGTATGAAATAATAATAATATTACCATTATATTATAATAACTTTTATTTTATCAAATAGTATTATTTTTATACCAAACTTTTTTATATTTTTAATATTGATATATTATTATTTAATATTATTTTTTTAGCACCTCTGCCATGTCTTTATTGTATGAATGTATCAATACTGTTATTGCTGGTAATTTCTTTTAATGATATAACTAGAATTATTAGCTTAATTTTATGCTTTATATAATTAATTTGAATACACATTTATATTTTTAGTGCTTATATCTATATCTTCTGGAATGCCAAACCACAATGCTTCCATTCAAGTAAGATTTTAAAAATTTTTGTTATAACATTTTTAATCAGAGTATTATTATTATTTGTATGACTTAACATCAAATAATTTAACAAGATTTTAAAATTAAAATGAAATTTAATACATCACTATTGTTAAATTATAAATATACAAATTATAGCTAAATTTATCAGATTTTCATCAAAGCAATCATAGATAATCACATATAAAATAAAAATTTACCATCTCTTAAAAGCAGAAGATTAATAAATAATCTAATTTTCTTTTATAACATTATTAATGAACCTAATATTTTCAAGGATTTCAAGCTACCAAATGGGATATACATAATTAGTTTTCCATAAATCTGGATGGGTACTAGTCGATAGTGATAAGTTTAGTATAAATTTAATTGGATAAGTAAGTGAATAATAATAATTGAGATAAATTATTTGTGGAGTTTGATATGGACCGCTCTTGGTATTATTTCACAAATTACGTAGAGACCAAGATATTTCAGTAAAAACAATAATTAAAAATAATATTAAAACTGAAATAAGGAACATTATTTGTATTATCAATGTTACTTGGTAAATTTATTGTGGCAGTTAATTAATCACAATTTTAATTTATATTAAAAATATAAATTAGGAAAATAAAAATTAAATCCTCTGCCACTCTTGAAAAAAAGAAAAATATTATATTATAATATTAATATTAAATATAAAATTAAAAATATTATGTACACATAAGAGTATGTTAAAAATTTTGTAAAATGTATGTAAGTATATCCCCTTTACCAGCTTGTCCCTTCTAATTTCCCAATTTAATTACTGTAAAAGTATGTTCTTATCATTAAAATAATTTTTTTTTTGTTAAAGTCAATTAATATGTAAATGGTATTACACATTCTGGATAAACTTTTACTTTCAAACCTTAAAAAAAAATAGTTATTTTTGTATTGGTTAAAATATGAATATTTGCTTGTTTTTAATATTCAACATGATGGAAAGTTTAAATAATTTTTATTACACTATATTTTAAATGATTTTATTTATTATTTTAGTTGTGTGTTCAAAAACTGAGAATATTAATTGAAGATTCAGACCAAAATTGTTAGTATAATGTAGAAAATATTATAGTATGATCTGTTGAATCATTGTTAATAAACTATTGTCCATTACAGTGAAATATTTAGGTTTATTGGCAATGTCAAAAATATTGAAGTCACATCCAAAGTCTGTTCAATCTCATAAAGATCTGATAATGATTTGTTTGGATGATAAAGACGAATCTATTAGGCTCAGAGCTTTAGATTTACTATACGGGATGGTACATGAAAAATACATTTGAATAATTTATTAATATTTATAAAAAATTATATGTATTGTAGGTATCTAAAAAAAATTTAATGGAAATTGTCAAAAAACTTATGGTTCACATGGAAAAAGCCGAAGGTACAGTGTATCGTGATGAATTACTCGTAAAAATAATTGATATTTGTTCACAAGATAATTATCATTTTATAACTAGTTTTGAATGGTGAGTTTTTTTATTAATAGATAATTCTTTAAACATTGATTAAAAATTTTCTGATTTAGGTATGTTAGTATATTAGTTGAATTAGCAAGAGTGGAAGGAATGAAACATGGACCTCTTTTAGCTCATCAAATGTTAGATGTTGCTGTTAGAGTTAAAGCTATAAGACCTTTTGCTGTTAGTCAAATGTCACTATTACTTACAAATGCCCATATGTTTATGCAACCATCAGGTGGTTCAAATATGTCTAATGTACTTTATGCAGCAGCATGGATTTGTGGCGAATATGCTATGTATGTTATTTTGTAACATTAATAAAAAATTCAAATTATGAAAACTTTTTTTTTAGTGAGCTGGAAAAGCCTGAAGAAACTTTATTTTCAATGCTCACTGGTAAAGTTCATTCATTACCTGGTCATGTACAAGCTGCTTATGTTCAGAATATAATGAAAGTGTTAGCTGTTATTCTTTTAAGAGATGATAAATTACTATCTATTAAGGTTTGAAATAAGATAAAAAATAGATATTATTTGAAAGTTAACATTTGATATGATTTAGATTTGTAAAAGAGTGTCAGATAAAATAGCACAATATGTGTCTAGTGGTGATCTTGAAGTTCAAGAACGAGCTAGTGCTGCATTACAACTTGTAAGTTTTGTTCATAAAGAGCTAGAAAGTGGTGATGATGAAGAAATATGTCTTCAAGTAGCTTCTCTATTTAGTGGAGAATTAAATCCAGTTGCTCCTAAAGCTCAACGCAAAGTTCAAATTCCAGAAGGGTAAAAATTTATTAATCTTTGTGATTCATCAATACTATTTAAAAATTTTATGCTAAATTCATATTATAAGGTTGGATTTGGATCAATGGATCAATGAACCTTTGCACAGTTCTTCAGAAAGTGAAGATGAAAATCATTCAGATGAACATTCTAACTTTTTCAATTTAAGTGGTTTTGATAAAAAAGATAATGAAGACAATGTTAATAACTCATTAGAGTACTCTGAGCAGGTATTTATGTGAAAGTAGTTAAATACTAAGGAAAAAAAATTAGTTATTTTTGATTATTTCAGTTAAAAAAACAATGAACTGATAACTGAATAAATTTTATAGTAACTTTTTATTTAAGAATGAACAGAAATTTAAAACTTAACTAAAATCTCTTCTTGAAAATGTCTTTCATTTTGAACCTTAAATATTTTTACTAAAATTCTAGGGTTTTAACAAAATATAATTTAATATCATATAATGTTAAAATGATTTTCAATTTTATTTGTATAAAAATATTTTTTTAAATAATAAATTAAATGTTAAATAACTTTACAGAGTAGAAAAGCTCGTCTTCAAGAACAAGAAAATAATCCTAATTATTTAAAATTAAACTTATGTAATGATAATACTTGTGACATTCCAATTGCAACTATAAACCTTCCTACACCATTAAATATATCAGGGTTTGTTTCATCTGATAAATTTTTGAAAGCTAAAAAATCTAAAAAAGATAAGAAAAAATCAAAAAAAAAGAGAAAAGAATTAGTTGAAGAAGAAAATGAAGTCTCAGAAATTGAAATGGTGGTGAATAGAGATATTGGTGAAATGCCTGAAGGCGTTGAAGATTCTGATGGAGAAAATGATATTGTAAAAGATGTAAGTGATCCTCATACTGCCCTTGATATTGATTTAGAAGTTCCTCTTATAATTGATGATCCTCCTATACCTGAAGAAAAAAAAAATAAGAAAAAGAAAAAAGAAAAGAAAAAAAAAATTGAAAAATCAAAAAAATCTAAAAAGGGAATTAAACAAGATGAACAATTGATTGAGATAAAACAAGGTTATGAAGAAGCTTTAGGTATTTGTACTCCATCTAAAGAAATTGTTCAAGCTGAAGATTTATCTTTTAATAAATTAGCTGTTGATAAATACTTACTATTAGTAAGTGTTATTGTTATTTTTATCATTTGTTAGTAATATTTTTATAGTTAAAATATTTTATTATTCATTAATAGGAATATAAAATAGATCCAAAAAATGAAATACGCAATTTGGCCACAGTTTTTTTCCGTTTAACAAATTTGAGTAGCAATTGTTTGATCAAAAATGTTGAATTAGATATCAATAACTCCAATGCTATTCAATTTATAGATCATGTAAATAGAATTTTTGTATGTGTAGTTAAATTATCCCTCAAAGTAATAATTTTATTATTTTATTTATCTTAGAAAAATGAATCTTTATTGTGGTATAAATTAGCAAGTAGTGTACAGACAGGTTCATCAGTTGACTTCTTTTTACTTTTAAAAGTTGAAAATGTAACTGTACAAAATATTCTACGTGGAACACTAACATACATGGCCCAGGTAAATCAATTTTTCAATTTATGTATTACACTGTATTTTTATATGCTTTAAATCTTATTTTATTATAAGAAAATGAATATATTTTTTAGATGTTTCAAGATGAAAGTTTTTTTCAAAATAAATTAGATTGGCGGTTAAAGGTGGCTGTTTCTGATATGTTTCTTAAGGCAGCTCCTAATGTACCCCTAGTAGAATTACTGTGTAACGGTCAACTGATTTTTAAATCATCTGTGTTCTTAACTGGATCTAACTTCAATCAAATTATTAATTGGTTTTCTACTAAGCTGCACTTAGTACTTGTGGAACGTGTTGGAGAAACTGCATCACTTTATAGTTCAACAGCATCTAATGAACAACTTTGCCTGTTAGTCAAGTCAATTGCAAATAATGTATCAGTAGAAGCTAAATGTACATCCCAAACATTAGTTGATAATTTAATGAATGAAATTAAAACCACTTATAATGTTTAGTTAAAATTTATAAAAAGTGTATTCTTTATTAAAATGTGTATTTTAATTACAGCATCTATAAAAATATTGATGCCTTATTCTATTGTGGTAAATTATATAAATTATTACAATTTAAGAAAATCAATTGTTTTTAGAGAATCTATTTATATTATTTGTTAAACAATCTTATTATTTTCTTTATGTTAAAACTATTTTAATTTATACTAAATAAATTATTCAGAAGAAAAATATATTTATGTAAGAAAAAAAATCTATACTTTGTGATATACTTGATAGTTAATATAATCGACAAATAATTACTATTCTGTCAATTAAATAAAAGCAAGTTTATGAAATAAGTTATATGTATTGAATGACACATACACAAATTATTTAATGAATACGTATATTCAAAATAAAATAAAACAACTGGAAAAATTAATAACGCATTTGAACAAATTTAAATAAATAAATTTAAAAGCACAGTGGGATCGTGGCATAGTGGGAATGTTGCATAGTTGGGTCCAGTATAGATTTAATCTGACAGTGATTAAAATCACTATCATAAGAAACGCTTCGATGCAAATCAGTAGATAGTGTTTAATTCTAAGAAATTGATGAATAATTACAAAAGCAACATCAACTTCTATTTCCTTAATTATACCCATTACCCATTAGTAATTCTTTTAATTATATATTATATAATTTTTAAAATTAATACTGATTTTGATTTTTAATATGTTAAAAGTAATCATTTTGAACCTACTTATTGTCCTTTAAAGTGAAAGTTTTAATAAAAAAAAAAAAAAACCCAGCACAGGGGGGTCGTGGCATAGTTGGATCAAGTATAATGATATCTGACAGTGATTAAAATCACTATCATAAAAATAGTTTAAAAAACTTAAAAACTTTAAAAGAGTAAAAAATTTTTAAAAAGGNCTCAAATTTAAAAATTACTTTTTCGACTTTAAAAAAGTAAAAAATGTTAATAAGTATAATATCATATGTCTTATGAACTTTATTCTATGTCAATGAAATTATATAATATTCATGATAGTCAGTGTATTCCCCTAATAAGATATTTTAAAATAAAATAAAATACAAAACCCAGAATTTTAATAAAAAATAACATATTTTTGAATACGGTAGCCATTTGCGCATATAAGATAGGTCGTCGGGACAAATTTTTTTTTTTTCATTTTGTAGTATATAAAATAAGCTTTAATTTGATATATGTTTAAAGGACGCAGTATTTCCGGAACATTTTCAAAAGTTCAGTTGAAAAAGTTCTATTTTTTATACAATGTTTCAAAGTTTGAACCCCCCCTATATAAGGGGAAATTGTCTAATTTTAATAAAAAGTATGTCAAATGGAAGATGTACTTATAATGTATTTAAAAAAAAAAAAATTGTGCTGATACATGCATTTTTCGAAAAGTTATAGCATTTTTAAGTTGAAAATTAAAAATCGAAAATCGAAAATTTTAACACAAAAATAGTGTTTTTTTAACTACGGCAACCGTTTACATGCAGAAGATAAAGTGTCGGGACAAATTTTTTTTTTTCATTTTATAGTACATAAAATAAGCTTTAATTTGATATATGTTTAAAGGACGCAGTATTTCCGGAACATTTTCAAAAATTAAGTTGAAAAAGTTAGTTTTTGTAAAAAAGTTACTATTTTAAATCCCTTACCATGAGCAGGTTAAGTGTTAAAATTTCAAAAAAATGATATTAAACGAAAGGGAAATATCTAAGGTTTTAGTATAAAAAAAAATTATGTTGTTTTGTTTATTTTTAAAAAAGTTATGAAAGTTTTAAGAAAAAAATGACAAAATTTAATGATTTTTAAATTTGTAATTTTTTTGGATATTTCCCCCATTTGAGGGAACGAGGGAAAATTTTTCAATTTTTAAGGGTAATGTCTTTAACTAGATACGATTTGTGATCTTTTGACGTATTGTTGAAAGAAATCGGTCCAGTGAGAGCTGAGAAAAAGTGGCAACAGAAAAAAAAAAATACATCATGGTAAAATTAATACCTTCTCAGCTTCGCATCGAAGCTAAAATGAAATTGTTAAGATTAATATGCAATCAGAGAATTTTATAATTACTATTTACAGTATATTTATCAGAAAAGTTAGATTTTTTTACATTTTTATCGTAATAGATCAACCCAACCAAACCCAACTTTTTTACAAAAACTAACTTTTTCTACTTAATTTTTCCGGAAATACTGCGTCCTCTAAACATATATCAAATCAAAGGTTATGTCATGTACTATAAAATAAAATAAAAAAAAAATGTTATGTCAGTTTTAAGTACAAAAATACCCAGCACAGTGGGGTCGCGGCATAGTGGGGATGTTGCATAGTTGGGTCCAGTATAGATTTAATCTGACAGTGATTAAAATCACTATCATAAGAAACGCTTCGATGCAAATCAGTAGATAGTGTTTAATTCTAAGAAATTGGTGGATAATTACAAAAGCTACATTATCTGCTAGTTTCTTATTAATACCCTGATTAAGATAAAGTATGTCGAATGAAAAAGGGATTATTAAAAAATATTATTTCTCATAAAAAAATTGTGTTGATTCGTACACTTTTCAATGAGTTATAGCATTATAAAGTTAAAAATGTAACCAACCCAACCCAACATCAACTCCTATTTCCTTAATTATATCCAGATTAGTAATTATTTTAATTATATATTATATAATTTTTATAATTAATTATTTTCAAATTATTATTGATTTTTAATATGTTAAAAGTAATCATTTTGAACCTACTTCTTTTTGTTCTTTAAAGTGAAAGTTTTAATAAAAAAAAAATGAATTTATTACCATAACTTTTAACTCAACTTGCAAGTTTGAAATAAATATTATTAAATAGAAAAAAATGAAATTGGTAGATTATTTCAAAAACAACAATAACACTTATTCCCTTAATTTTACCCCGATTTATAACTATAATATATGAATACATAATAATTACAGTAATTAAATTGAGTATGAAAGTGGTATTCAATAATATAATATTGTAATTTTTACGGAGATATTATAAAAATAAAAAGGAGTTGTATATTCATATACTTTTAATGCGTATACAAATTTAAAGGAATTTATGCAATACTTTTTAATAAAAAAATTTTGTTACTTATGAATAAATACACTAAACAAAAGGAACTTTCATCAGAAAAAAAATATACTTTTCTAAATAAACTTTTCGTGATGTTTTCAAATGTGCAATTAAACTTTTTCTATTACTTCTAAGTTTTAATATTATTACTTATTATTAAAAAATAAGTATTTACATATAAAAAAAAATAATTAAGAACAAAAAAAATTGTATTAAATTAATACTGATTTTGATTTTTAATATGTTAAAGGTAATCATTTTGAACCTATTTTTTATTGTCTTTTAAAGTGAAAGTTTTAATGAAAAATACCTTCTCAGCTTCGCATCGAAGCTAAAAAATGAATTTGTTACCATAACTTATAGTTCAACTTGCAAGTTTGAAATTGACATTATTAAATTGAAAAAAATGAAATTTTTAAGATTAATATGCAATCTGGAAATTTTATAATTACTAATTACAGTACATTTGTCAGAAAAATTCGATTTTTTTACATTTTTATCGTAATAGATAACTGAAATAGAAAGAATAGTAATCATATCCTAATAACTTTTGGTGTTTAAAAAAATTCTGCAATTGAAATATTCAGAACTTAATTAATTTTAATAATTTACTTTAATTAAATGAACCAATCAAACCAAAGTAGTTAAAAAGATTTACTCAATTGAGCATATTATCAAAAATATAATTATAATTGTAAAACTCCATCGTTAACTTCAGGTGAAACTAAAAATCATTTTTTTTTTAAATTTATGATTTATATAGCAAAATATTACTAAAAAATTTGGCATATTATAGACTGGTAGTAGCACACAGAAATAGAGTTAAAAAATTAATAAATTATAAAGTAAAATTATTTACTTTTGTAGTTGAATACTTTTATCATATCAAATTTAATTCGACAATAAATAATTTAAGAATATTAAAAATTAATGATTTTAATTGTTTGTATGGACAAATCTAGTTAAGCTACTTTTTATTTGAATAAGGAATATTTTTTTGATTTTTAAGAGTAATAACTTAAACTAATCATTAACTTAAATATCATAAACTTAAATGAATCATTTGACGTATCGTTGAAAAAAGTAGGTCTAGTGAGGGTTGGCAAAATAAATCGTAGCCAGAAAAAGAACCACATAGTAAAATAATATTAACATGAATATCAATTTCTTCTCACGAGGGGAGACTATAGTGATAAGATCCTTTATATTTATTGAAATTATTGAATCTAAATGAGATAAATATCAAATGATTTGAAAATTCTATTCTAACTCAAAAAAAAAATGCAAAATTTTAGAAGCCACAAACGGATTTGAACCTCGTACCCTAGGCGTTAAAGATCAAGGTGTTACCCATTCGGCAACTATTCGTTGATTTTTGTTGCATGATAAAATTGGCTATTTAAGCTAACTCAAATTTAAAAATTACTTTTTCGACTTTAAAAAAGTAAAAAATGTTAATAAGTATAATATCATATGTCTTATGAACTTTATTCTATGTCAATGAAATTATATAATATTCATGAAAGTCAGTTTATTCCCCTAATAAAATATTTTAAAATAAAATAAAATACAAAACCTAGAATTTTAATAAAAAATAGCATATTTTTAAATACGGTAGCCTTTTGCGCATAGAAGATAGGGTGTCGGGACAAATTTTTTTTTTTCATTTTATAGTACATAAAATAAGCTTTAATTTGATATATGTTTAAAGGACGCAGTATTTCCGGAACATTTTCAAAAATTAAGTTGAAAAAGTTAGTTTTTGTAAAAAAGTTGCAATTTTAAATCCCCCCCCATGAGCAGGTTAAGTGTTAAATTTTCAAAAAAATTATATCAAATGAAAGGAAAATATCTAAGGTTTTAGTTTAAAAAAAAATTATGTTGATTTGTTGATTTTTGAAAAAGTTATGGAAGTTTTAAGAAAAAAAAGTGAAAAAAATGACAAAATTTGTCGATTTTTAAATTTGTAATTTTTTTGGATATTTCCCCCATTTGCGGGGAACGAGGGAAAATTTTTAAATTTTTAAGGGTAATGTCTTCAACTAGATACAATTTGTGATCTTTTGACGTATTGTTAAAAGAAATCGGTCCAGTGAGAGCTGAGAAAAAGTAGTGACAGACACAAAAAAAAAAAAAAATAAACACATCATGGTAAAATTAATACCTTCTCAGCTTCGCATCGAAGCTAAAATTTGTGCCGACGTCCTATCTTATATGCGCAAATGGCTAACGTATTCAAAAATATGCTATTTTTATGTTAAAATTCTGGGTTTTGTATTTTATTTTATTTTAAAATATCTTATTAGGAGAATACATGGTGAAAATAGCTACCGTATTTAAAAATATGTTATTATTGTGTTAAAATTCTTGGTTTTGTATTTTATTTTATTATAAGGGGATTACACTGATTTTCATTAATATCTATATTAATATATCAATCTAAATGACATGGTATAAAAAATTAATCATTTTAACAATTTTTTTGTTTCTTTGAAGTCGAGAAAAATAACTTTAAAATTTGAACTAGCTAAATTTCCATTTTTATTAAGTGACGAATGAGACGTACGGTTTTTGAGACGGTAACACTTGGGTCTTTCACGACTGTGGCACTGAATTTTTTTTTAATTTTTTTTGAGTTAAAAAAAAATGTTTAACTCATTTGATTTTTATCTCATTTAGATTCAATAACTTCAATAAATATCAAGGATTCCATTACTGTAGTCTCCTCTCGTGAGAAGAAATTCATATTAATATTATTTTACTATGTGGTTTTTTTTTTTGTAGCTATCATTTATTTTCTCAGCTCTCATTTGACCTACTTTTTTGACAATTTTTTTTTTTTTTAATTAAACACTATTTACAGATTTGCATCGAAGCGTTTTTTATGATAGTGATTTTAATCACTGTCAGATATCATCTATACTGGACCCAACTATGCCATGACCCCACTGTGCTGGGGTTTTTTTTTTTACCAAATTTTTAAAAATTTTATTATTTTTATAACAAAATTATTTTTTATTATTTATTCATTTTTTGGAAAGTGCAGCCTCAATCATTTTAATATATTTATTAGATTAAAAATAAAAGCTACGAATTTCTCCTGAAAATATTTATACATTATTATATATTGGTTTATATATTTTTCAAAAAAGTTATAGTAGTTTAAAATCTAAAATTGAGTACTTTAACACAAAAGAAAGCATGATTTTTTATCTATCGCGGCTATTTGTATATACATCATAAAGTGGAGGACATTCTTTTTTTAACTTAATAAAAATAATTATAATAACTAACTAAAAATAGTTCCGAATCATCTGCGCATATTTAAATAATCTTTTGTTGATTTTTCTACCTAAACTGTAAGTTTAACAAGGCAATTTTAATAGACTTAATTATTTAGTCTAACCCCTTAATTCAGTCACAAAATTGTGTAATTTACCTTAATTTAGTAGGTTTATTTAGTGTAATATAAATAGAATTGTATTAATGCATCAAGAATCTAAATAGGTTCAGTTGAGCCTCTAGTAAATTCACCACTTTCTAAACTTGTATATATGTATATTTAAAATTACTATTACTTTTTTATCACATTTTAGAAAGTTGGGTTAATAATGATAAGTTTTAAAATTTGACCTTGTGGCGTATTTTCGCTCAGCATATATAACAAAAGAATTCGGGGTATACAATAAAACAAATTTGTAAAGATAAAAATAGTTAAATGTAAGTTAATAATACAACTAATTTGATTTTAGTTAGATTCATAATATTAATTAACTTGTAAATGTTTTACTTGAAGTAAAAGATTAATCCTTCTAATTTCGTAAAATTTGTCTTACCTGCTCAGCGTTAATAACTTATATATTCGGAAAGATTATATAAATAATAATTTATTTTATCTTCGACGGGAATCTAAAAATTATTAATTCTACCATGATATATTTTTAGTTTTTTGTGTTTATCACCAGAGGTACAACCAGAAAGTAATTTCGTAAAAGGGAGGGTGTATTACCTTATTTTTGCTCATCGAAAATATTGATAACCCTTTCGGAGGTGAAGATTATTATCCTTAACCATCTAACTTTTAGATTCTACTAAACCAATATTGTTTATGAATGCATAAAATGAATCCGAATCATACGCATAGTGAATTTTTTAATATTTAAACAATTTTTTTTTAATTAATAATTTTTTTTTTGGCTTTTGTTACATATGTATTATTATTTATCTGTTATAATATATGTTTTGTTTCTCCTTTATACTTACTAAGTGTGACAACTTTATTTTATTTAATTATAAAAGTAACAACACTTTCAGTCAATACTTTAAATTATTAATAACTTTTGAAATACCCATTAAACATTTTTTATTGATAAGTAATTTTCTATTTTATATACTTGTTAAATATGTATTTTGAACTTTGAAAAATTAAGTTAACACTCCTATAAGACATAAGGGATGGTTATAAAAAATATTTTATAATTGATATATAAAAATATATATGTAACAACTAACAACAGCCAAAAAAATTTTACAATAAAATTATTATTTTAAAAGAAATGAAGTGGTTAGCATTAAACGAATGGCTCTGTACAGTTGAAGAAATTGAAAAAACTACTAAGAAATATTTTAGTGATATATCTCAGAGAAAAAAAAAAATAATTGAAAACGTCTAATTTTGATTATACAGAATCGTATTGAAGTGTTTTATGATAGATGTGTTAAATCATTAGCTATGCTAGGTCCCAATTGTTATGTTTTTTTTTTATTAATAATTTATTACTTATACACAAATTATATAATAGTTATTAAAAAGCTTGAACAATTATGACTATTAAATTTATTATAAAAGCTTATTTATTTGTCATAATATAAATTAATCATTAGAGGAAATAAATGTTTCAATAAAAACAAAATTTAGCTTATTTTTATGAGAAAAATTAATATGATAATACAATGATTTCTCAAATCAATGAATTTACATAAAATAAAAGTAACTGTAAAAAATTAAAAACTTGTTTAAATAAAGTAAGAATTATAATTAAAAATAGGGCTTGAAGGGTTTGATACAGATATTAACATTTAAAAATGTTAATTAAATGCACAAAATTAATTATTAGTACCAGCCATGGCTATCATAATGGTCATCATGGTGGTAGTGGTCATGATGGTCGTCATGGTGGTAGTGGTCATGATGATCGTCATGATGGTAATGATCGTACGACTTGATGTACACTGGTTTATGAATATACACGGGTTCTTTGATATAAACTGGTTCCTTATGAACGTGATATGGTACATGAATTATATGATGTTCACTAAAAAAAAATTAAATTAAATTAAAATGTTCAACAAAATTATAAAAAATAATTTAAAAACTTTTTGATCAGTGATGTTAATTTTTATATCAAACTGACATTACTTCAATCACTCAAAAATTTAAAAAAAATGTTATTTACTAAACGTGAAGAAATATTAGTGTAATAGGTAAAATTATTTCTTTATGTATGCATATGGCATTAGTATGATAATATTAAAATATTTGTTAGGTTTTTTTTAGTTGTTAAGCTAAGAAGTTATTGTTTTTACCATGATAATCATTGATGATGATTGTGTCTGTCTAAACATTTTCAGCTTTGTTGACCAATATTTTAACAATAGGAGAAAATTATAAATTTTTTTTTAGATTTTTAAATTTCAAAAACTTATTAAAAATATTAAGATCTCGATGAAACTTTTACTGATAATAATACAAAGAAAAATCATTATTTATAAATATATTTTTGAAAATCTTTAAATACAAAAAAGGTTTGATCTCAGTGATAAACTCGATTAGAAATATTTTATTAAGTTTTTAAAATGTTTCAAAATAGTCGCACTCAATTTCTTTTCGATATTTTCTACAAAATTACACAGATTTTTTTAATGATAATTAATTGTTATTAAAGTGGGCATTAGCGCTCATGTACTCGACCATATTGTGCACATTAATGAAAATTACTGTCCGATTTTAATTAATATTAGAGTAAATTATGACGAATTTCCACTAGGTTGTATCTCGATTATATTGGGGATTTAAACCTAAAAGTTGATGAAACAGTGTAAATGAATTACATCAACAACCACATTGACAGTCGGGGTAATTCTCTATATGTATACACATAATAAATTAAGGAGTGTTACTTAATTTGAAAACTTAAAAATTTTTAAGATTCTCTTAAAAAAACAATTTAACTTATTAATGTAAAATGGCACCAAAATAATACCCGTACGAGCAACAATTTTTCTAAGTTTATTTAATTTCTTTTTTAATTAAAAAAAATGTCCAAGTGGTCCAACTTAAGCAAATAGTTGCAACTATGTGTTATTTATAATTGACATAATTGAATTTTTTAATTATAATTAAATAAATAAATCTGAACATTCTTTTTTGTGAAATTTACAGTTTATTGGAAATTATTAAAAGTCGCCTCTTGTATTAAAATATATAAAAATATTAACACGTTGATGGACAGTTAATGATATGGCATTTTACAAACACTGATTTTATGAGATGTATGGGGTCAGAAAAACTTCCTCTTTCATAAGAAATTATTGAAAATATTACTGCTATATCAGTAATGACATTTTTAGAATAGTTTAGAATATTTTTAGAATAGTCAAATTTTAATATTACTGCTATAACAGTAATATATGATTTTGTCCATCAACGTGATAAGTGATTGAAATATTGTTGAACATAAGATTTCTTCGAAAGAAATAATAATTATGAATTCTTTTTTTTTTTTGGGGTTAAGTAAATAGTATTTAACAATCAATGGTCAATAAGCAGTCAACCACATTATATAATTGCACATTGTGTTCCTTATACGATACTAATTTAGAATACACTGGTAGAAATAGGGAAGTTAGGGTTCAAAAATTCAAAAAAATTGTTTATTAGTTATGTTATACAAAAACATACTTTAGGGCTAAGAAAAATATTAAAATACATCATTAATCCTTCAAATTTTATTTAACTATTTCTGCTTATAAAAAATACTAAATCATAAAATTATAATACTTACTGTTTTTTACCCCAAAAAGTAGGGGATGCTGTGGCTACAGAAATAATTACCAAAAGAATTGCCACCTTTAAAAATAAATTTATACTTTATTAAAGACAATAAAAATTTGAGTAAACACAATAATTACTTATTTAAACATTTTTATTTGTACGACAAAACTATTATACTTATAACATACTTAATTCATTTTTAAAATTTTAGATTTTAGTAAAAAAGATAATGTAATAATAAAATTTAATTTTTTTAAAATATTATTTAATATATTTAATGATAAAAAATTAAAGAATTATTTTTTTAACAGCCAAAAATATTATAAACATTATAATAATATTACGCGTTACGGCATTTCACACAAATAAACATTATAAAAATTTACTGAATGAATTGAACGAATTGAAAGTTCAAAAAAAAATAGAAAAATATACATCGACCAATACTATATAGATTAAATGAAATTTGATGGATAATTGATAATATGATTATATTATAAAAAAGTTAAAAAAAAAAAATGTTTCTTTCAGGAATACAGTTTTTTACCACTAAATTGTAACTAATAATTAACAATATATTTATAAATAGTCGACTTAATTGAAATAAATATTTTTTGATATTTATAATATATATACATAAAAAATTAACTGAAAATATAAAAAGAGTATATACAAATAAAACATAGATTAATTATTATAATAAGTTGATAGTTATTTAAAAAAGTTATATACTTAATAATTTACAATAAATGAAAAAATTGAAGTAAAATTAAATATTTAGTTTAAGTCAAATGATTATCATTAATTTGTACTTATTAAACGTATAGTTTAAGGTTGTTATAATAAGCTTAAAATTTAAATGATTGATAACATTAAGTATTTTACTTACGGATGTTTTCATTTTATGTTTTTTCTATTGATTTATGAACGTATTATTCTATTTTTTCAATCACACTGATTAATGTGTTGTCCTAAGAAGAGTATTTATATAGCATGCAAAATATATTTCTCATATTATGATTGACCGGGAGGCAATGGTTGTTTTTGAATTATTAAGGAGGAGTTTATATAATTCGTTGGAAGGGTTGACCCACCAAATCCAGCAAAAACTATATAGAGAATTATGCAACTGAATAACTTGGCAACTTTCTGTGCACACGTCAATAGAGTGGTCAATGAATCACACATATGAAACAAATTTAGTGTAAGGTACCTATTAAGAAAGAATCTGTCGGACAAATGATATTAAAATTGTTCGATTCTTTTGATTTACATTAAATTTAGAAATAATGCAGATTAAAAAGACTTATACAGTTTAAGGTGAATAAAATAAAATGATTCATTGATTACATATGTTACGTTAGTCAGACAGGAGTTAGGACGTTTTTGTAAAAAAATCAATTATAAAAAAAATGACCCATACAATATTATATTTTTTAAAACTGTGTCAAAATTAATTTTTGAAGATATTAATATTATTGTTAATGTCTTCTTCTGTTTCCTCGACTTAATCCTAACCACTTGGGTTCGGCGACACTTATCCTAAATTTCCACTTGACACGATCTCACACATCATCTACGCTCATATCAGCCGTCTTCATATCGTATTCAATAATTAATATTATTACTAATATGTTATTATAATTTTGGAACAAGTAAGTTTCAACAATTTATTTTGAAAATAAATATATTTTTAAATTATAATTTGCAGTAAACTTCTATGTAGAATACCTAGGATCTTAATTTTTATGGATTTCCAGAATACATACATTTTCGTTTTTAAAGCCCGAATTAAGGAATGCGCAGGTAGACGGAGCTTCTCTACTAAATTTTGTTTTCTTTTACGTTCCTGTTCTGTGTTTTATAGTATAATAAATCTCCATATTTTAATAATTATAAGTTATTAAACAAATATACAATTTTATGATAAATTGTTCATTGTCAGCTATATTTAAAATTTTTTTGTATTAATGAAATTTATGAAAATAAATCCTGTAGGTTTAGGCAATAAGCGTAGAAAACATATTGAAAGTATTATTTCTCAAGATATTCAGTTAAAATACACTACTATGCCTGTGTTTTTTAATTATATTTTTCAATAGTTACGCACTGTGAAAAATTATAAATCTGTACATAATCTTTATCCCACTTAATATGCTTACTATTTCATTAGAAGCTCAGGTATCATTATGTTTTCAAATTATGCTTTTATTTATATGATTATGAAAGTATACGGAAAAGTACAGCAATTACAGATTGAGAACACTAATTTATAGTATGTTACAACCGAATGAGCTTATATGGTTATTATAAATGTGTAACTTACGACAGAAAATTAGAAGATATTTATTTAGTAAAGTAACTTTGAACTAATATATATTTTATAAATCCAATAGAATTCCCAAATATTATCTTGAAAATCTTTAATTTTGGAAATTTGATTAGTTAATGTTAAAAGAAACATTCTGTATAATATAAAATTACCTCAGACAGTCTGATTTGTTACTAAACAATTAAAATACCTATTTTATGCCGATTTTTTCAAGAATATAGTGAATACATTTTTTAATTACCATATTTGATACATTTTTTTTTTAAAGAAATAACATTTCAATCAATTTTTTAGAAAATAATGTATTTATTGTAAAAGCTATGTTTCGATGCATAGCTTAGAATATATTGATTAATCAATACTTAATAGTAAAATTTTACTATGATAAATTTTTTTTACATCTATCTACATAAATATTCCGATTTGACTGGATTAATATCGCTAAACGATAAATCAATAGATCATATATCTTTTCACGTATCTAATTAAAACTTGACGGCCGGTCACTGGAAACCATCTAAAACATACAGTGATGTTGACGAACATGTTTTTTTAAACCTGCGTATTTGAAACGTAACAACCCTAAAAACAAGAGGTACCGTATAGGATAAGAAACCGCGACCCAAGTCATCGTAGTTATTCCTTACCATTAGGTCATTGTGCACTTGTGGTTCAAATTTCAATACACTACCATAAAGGTTGATAATGTGATAAGCCAATGAGGGAAACGGTGTACCGTGTCAAGCTATCAGCGTTTCAATTCAAAAAATTACACTCAAACCCAATCATAATAATTATAAAAGTTAAAAACGATTGATTTTGATTTTTTCAATTTCAATTTTATAATTAAGGAGGTTTATTTTATTATGTTAATATCATAAAAATTTTTTAAATTTATTTTGTTTTTATATATATATTTTATAAATTTAAATAACTATTTTCGAGCGAGATGAAAAAGGCATTATAAATACAGAGAGCTAATTAGATATTTATGACATTGCTGTCACAGTCACGGATTGTTTATTATCAATTATGACTATCAATAGATATACTTTCTGTATTGTCAGTTAGTGTGAATTTATAAACTCACAACAATGTACCTTACTACCATTGATAATAACAATGCTGTGTACCTGCTAATATCGATGTCATAAAAAACCAATTAGCTACCTGTATTTGTAAACCCTTGTGTATTATACATGTATATTAACTCAAAAATTTGAAACTTTAAATGTTTATATCTAATAAACAAATAAAGTTTTATTAAAAATTCAAATTCCATTTACTATTAAATTAAAAACTCAAACATTTTATTAAATTCAAAATATGTGTTCCCATTTAAAAAAACAAAGTTGACACCCTTACCAAGCATAAGGAATGAACTTAAAAAGTATTACATAGTTAATAATTCAAGAATAATGTGTAACTAAAGATAGTAATAAAAAAAAAATGTTTAATTATTATTATTCTGTAAGTAATTGAGTGGGTTATGATAAAAAAATCACTCTATACATTGTATCATAATATTATTTTTATAACGTTATTTTTTTTAATTGCTAAAATAATAATCTTCCAAAAAGTTTCCATAGTGAAATAATTCTATAAACAAATACATTGTTCAACTTTTGCTGATTAGGAGTAAATGATTAGGTTTTAATGTTTAAAACTTCACTAATTTCCTATAATTCTTGTTCTTCGTGCAGCGTAGTTGTATAGAATACATATAACTACTAACTTTTTTTGATGAATCTATGTAGCTTTGGGCGTTTGACCAAATGCACTGACCTGTATAACTTAGGACAGCTCTCCAACGTGAAGTAATCTCGTGTATTTAAAACTGCCTTGAGGTTTTATTACAAAACAGTAACTTGAAATAGTGTACTATTATTCTTCAATATAAATTAAAACATGCGTTGAGTATATTCTATTTTATTTTTATATTTTTCTTTTCACAAAAACTGGTTTTTAGAGTCTGGTGAAAATTTAAATACGTTTGGTGATGTAACCGCGACATATTAAGTAATGATGAAAAATGAACTGTGTGATTTAATGTTTTATGAAATTAATGCATTAAAGATTTTTCCCAAGTGTATATATATATATACACACATTTAAAGCTAATTAAAGACTAAGAAAATCGCCGAATGCACAAGAGCACCAGTACATTTTTATAGATTTCTTTTTTAATCTATTCACATTAAGTAGCCGTAAACACATTGTTTTTCGAAGTAAAAAGTTATATCTTAGTATCCAAAGATCAAAAATAGCTCTTAATTTGAAATTTCAATGGCAAAACAGTATACTTACCATTTCTGCAGTTAATTTATCTATTAGGAATTCTTATTATCAGTTAATATTGTTTAACTTAGGTAGTACAGAGAATGACTATGTTAAACGAGAAATAATAAATATTAAAAACATTTTTATTATTTTATGATGTTTTCTTCCTTTATATATATAAAATATGAAACTTTTTATAATTTGAAATCAAAAATAAAGTTTCGAAAGTAAAACAATAATTCATTAAACGTTTTATAGGTTTTAGTCTTTCCTAAAACAATACAATATGGACTTGTTCTTTTTCTTTAATTAATAATTCATATATCAAATTATTCTTCATTAATTATAACACTGTAAGAAATAATTTAAAAATTATTAAGTATCCGTGTAATAATTTAAATACACATGTAACGTTTATTTACAAAAAGTGAATTATTGACATAAAGTATCGAAAATTCCTACATAAATATGAACAAATTTAAATAAATTGAATAAATAAATACAATTTAAATGAATAGTATTATTTGAGTATTGAATTTTATTTTTAGGTGTATTATGGCGAAATTTCCAAGAAAAACTCCTTAAAAGAAGATAGAACTTTAAAATACCTTTATTTTGATACAACAAGGAGGATGTAAGAACATTTTTTTTGTTAAGCTCCCAGTATAAAATTCTAAATAAGCCACTCAATGGTAGTACAAATTTTTAATATATATCTCTCAAAATAAAGTATAAATAAATTGATCAAAATTATCTTTAAATAATTAATTAAAAATAAAATAAAATAACTTTTTATTTGAATAATTAAATTACAGTAACATTACTTTAAAAATAGTTTCATTCAAGTTTCACTCAACATTGATACTATAGAAATCATATAATATTTTAGTAGGTAAAAGAGTTATAATTCACTATAAATAATTTGTTTATAATACAGTATTCTTACACCAACTTAAATTGTTTAATATCTCTTTTTAATAAAAACCAATTTTTTTTTTTTCAATTGTATTTTTTTCCATTTTGGTTTAGTAGATGACCATCTTATTTAAAAATTATTATTGCTTCATGTAACAAGGAATCATTAACATAATTTAATTCTTGATTATTATACAACTCTTGAACACTTACTTTATAGTCATATACATTTTTTTAATTGCAAAATTTAAAAAAAAATCTTTATTTTAATTCATTATTAATAATAACAATAATCAAAATACAATAACTAAATACTATTTCAATAAAATAGTATTATATTATATAATAATATTTTCTATATCTATTTTTTTAAATTAGCTACTCGATATCTTTTAAAATAATAATTATATTAAGAAAATTCTTTTTAGTATATTTTATTTTTATATAATTATTTATATAAAATTATTATTTATTTATCGAATATTAACTATTGTTTAATTCATCCTTTATACGTTATTAGAGTGATAACTTAATATTTTTGTTAATAATAACATACATATATAACCAACTAATGAATTTAAAATTAATCTAATTAAGAAAAAAATTGGTCGATATAAACTTTTGATCCATTATTTCAGAAGTTACATAATTTTATATAATTTTCTTAACATAGCACTTATTTTAAGAGAAATCGAGTGCTAGTATTTTAAAAAATTACCCTGTACTTTTTTTAGCTTCGATGCGAAGCTGAGAAGGTATTGGTTTTACTAAGATGTGTTTTTTTTTGTGTCTGTTACCACTTTTTCTCAGCTTTCACCGAACCGATTTCTTTCAATGATACGTCAAAAGATCACAAATCGTATCTAGTTGAAGACATTACCCTCAAAAATTGAAAAAAAATCCCTCGTTCCCCGTAAATGGGGGAAACCTCCAAAAAAATTACAAATTTAAAAATCGCTAATTTTCAAAATTTTTTCAATTTTTTTTATTAAAAACTACCATAACTTTTTTAAAAATAAACATATCAATATAATTCTTTTTTATATAGATGCATGATATCATTACCTTTCATTTGGTATATTTTTTTGTTATATCTGATCCTTTAACTGTCCACAGGGGGGATTTAAAATGACAACTTTTTTACAAAAAATTAACTTTTTCATCTTAACTTTTGAAAATGTTTCGGAAGGTCTGACACTTTTATATATATCTTAAATTAAAGCTAATGTAATGTACTTTAATTTGAAAAAAAAAAATTTCGGACTTTATTTTATCTTCATGGTGAAAATGGCTACCGAATGCTATTATTGTGTGAAAATTCTCGATTTTATTTTTTACATTTTTAACTTTATAATGCTATGACATATTGAAAAGTGTATGGATCAACATTATTTTTTTATGAGAAATAATATTTTTTAATAATCCCTTTTTCATTCTACATACTTTATCTTAATTAGGATATTAATAATGAACTAGCAGATAATGTAGCTTTTGGAATAGTCCACCAATTTTTTAAAATTAAACACTATCTAAAGATTTGCATCGAAGCGTTTTTTTTTGATAGTGATTTTAATCACTGTCAGATATCATTATACTTGATCCAACTATGCCACGTCACCACTGTGCCGCGACCCCCCTGTGCTGGGTTTTTTTTATTTAAGGGGAGAAAACGTTATGAATTATGTTATAATTATATTTGAAATAATTACAACGTTTAAAATGAAATTTTTTGTCAAAACGTAATCAAAAAACGAAAAATAAAAACCAAAATATGTAATAATTGTAATATATTGTTAAAAATTATAGATTTTATAATATAAAATAATTTTTTTTAAAAGACAAATAAAAATTTTATATTAAAAAAAATTTATTATAGAAAATAGTAACCGTTTGTCCATATTCAAAACTGTTTATGGCAGTACTATATTTCGTAATTGTGTTTTATATTTATTATGTTCTAGTAATTATATTTCGAATCATTTTGAAACGTAAAAATTTTAAAATAATAAACTAAAAAATTGAATTACGTTTTAATATTAAAAACGTAAAACATAAAAATTGTACTACGTTTAAATGTCCAATTTGAACATTACATTCAATTATAAGACAATGTTATAATTTATTTAAACATTAAACAAAAAAATATTGTTAATCCGACTTTTGTATTTAATATTCTCAAAACTTAACAAGTCATACTAAATTTAAAAATAATTGTAGTCGTTTTTTTGCTATGGAGTTACTTTCTTATTGAGAAATTTCAGTACCAATAACTGTGGTAACGGTGAATTACTTTTTTTGCTCGATACTTTTTGAATTTTGGTTTATATTTGACTATAGGTTTGTGATGGTGATGAATATGATGAATATAAAACGGTATATGAATAATGTGCTTTTCGCTGTAACATAAACATTTTATTACAATTAAAATTTTTAATTTTAAAAGTTTTAGTTGTTATAAACGATTTTATAAACAACTTTTAGGTACAGTTACAACCAATGGCTTAATTTTGGATCATACGTTATTTCGATAGAGACCCCTAACTAAGAATAGATATCGTAAAAATATAATTTTTGCCACTTATAAAATTTTCTCAAATTGAACTGTTACTGTGTAACAGTTTGAATCACAATTGTTGTATTTAATAAATATAATGAAATATTCACCTGTTACTCTGTCATATGTTTTTTAAAGTTCTAAAAAAAATTTTTTTTCGCTTCAAAAATTTGAATGTAATTGTGTGGTGTGAATTTTATTAGTTTGGTGTTTAATTCGTGGCAATTAAGAGACGATAAACTTTTAAAAAAATCGTGTGTTTCATTTGTGAAAACTGTTTTGAGTCTTTTTTTTCGCCTCTGGGCCCATCCCAAACGTATATCGTCACAATAATGAATCAAAAGTAATATTTTTGCTTAAAAAATTACACCACCACGTATAATTGCAGCACTAGTTTAATGTATAAAACCCACATTTATTTTTGGGATAGTCTCACTTTAAATCCAAACACAAAAATTTTAAGCATTATCAAGTGTTTTAAACAATATAGAACGTTGATTCAGTATGTCAAGAAATAATTATAGCTCATAACTAGATGATTTTTTGAAAATAAATGTTTTACATTATTTTAAAATATCCCCCCTCCTTAAAACATACAGCAAGTGCTCTGATTTCTGAACAATACTAATTTATCCAAAGAAATTTTTTTCATTTCTTACCGGGTTGTATAAGTTGAGGACAAAGAAATAGCAAACACACATAACAACGCCGTAATCCCAAGAATCTGTAAAAAATTAACAACAAGTTGACTAAATGCTTTTAAATATTATTGTACATAATAAGTTGTAATAAAACGTAATATAATCAAACATGATGTGAAAAATCATATTTCCTATAAAACGATGTGAACGATTTTATTTTTCTTATAAAAACGTAATAACATCGTATTTTTGTTTGTTGGTGGAATGATGAAGTTTAAAAGCGTAGAAAATCAATTTTAGATTCTCGATGAGGAAATCTACAGTTGAAGTTAGATAACATCTATGTAGTTTTATTTCAAAAATTACTAAGCATTAACCCATCGTAGAACAATATTATGGCAACTAGTACAAAAAGCGAAGCAGAAAAAAATCTGTAACATGAGATAGTACATGCAACATAATACATGACTACACATCACGAATCAATAATTTTTTATTCTCTAATTTATATTATTTGTGTTCTGTTCACGTACTAAGTAAATAAATACGTTATGCATCGCGCGTCTCGTATTATGCCATGAAAACATAGTATTATTTTGTCAACTAGTTTTTGAAGCGAATCCAACATACTAGTAGTTGATATTATAATTATTACTTCAAATTCTTAACAAATACTATTTCTATAACTTTTGTAATATTTCTATTGCTAGTATAAAAATAACTCAACAACGGTAATTAAAATAACATGGGGTAAAAGTGCGCACTTTTTTTTTATTGCGTATAACTCGTAATATTTGGTAGTTATAGACAATTTTTTATGCTAGACAAACTATTACAAAATATAAATTACAAATTAATAGTAAGATTAGAACTCTATTTAATGAGTAATTAATTGAAACAAAATGAAAAATAAAAACGTACTCTAATCTCACTAATAGAGTAAAAGTCCAGTTATCATCTAGTAAGTTTTAACGAGCAAATAAGTAACTGTTTAACAAAGTATTTTTTAATCAAATGATAAACACAAAGTTTAATGAATTTAGTAATTTTGCAATTAAAAATTTATGTTTAATTATAATGAGTGAAAAAACAGTTAGGAATAAATAGAAATAAATTGTTTTTCAAAAAAAAAAAAACAAAAATATTCAATAAATAAGTCAATTATGAAATAATTGGAGTATAAATTATTAAATTAACAATATTAATTATTATTACTTATAAATCAAATTTAATAAAGAAATGTATAAACCGCATTTATTTCAAAATAAGTAAAAAATGTATTATTTTAGAGCTACGTTGGACTTTTACCCCTAATCAATTTTTTTCTTTTTTATTAGAAAAAAATTTATATTTCACTAAATAATTAAATTATAAAATATATCCTATTATTTTGAATTAATGAATATTTTTATTATATTAGCAATAATAAAATAAATTTTGGAGTCACTGGCGGAAACGGTTTGGGAGTTTAGCTGTTTGAAATATTTCTTCAGCCCTCAAAGTTTAGAAAATTATAAAGAGCGTTTTATAAGTAAGGTAAAGGGTTTTCATTCTTCGTAACAATTGACCTGATTCCTTAATTTATGAACATTTTATGTTTATTGCATTATAAATACGTATTTTAGTGTGGGAGGATATTTTATAATTATGTCATAAACCTTCCTAACATTTTATTTTATTTTAGCCAATGTCTAGAATGTTTATAAGAAAATGCGTTTGACGCAAGCACTAAAAGGGGCTTGAGTTCATTGGTGTTTTCACGGGGATGAAGTGATATAGGAGATAAAGCACTCATTATGAACAAATATATATATAGTAAAGGTGATTTAGTAACAGGTAATAAAAAAAATGTCTTATGTATATCTCCACCCAAGACAAAACCCTGATAATACCATTGCTTTAGTTCTTTGTATATTTTTTAATTTAAAATTATATTATCAACCAATAAGTGAAATTATATTTAACCAGTCAAAAAAGTTTTTTTTATTACTGTTACGTATTGATGATAATTGATATGATTGTATAAATCGGTAGTGGAAATTGTCATCTACGCGCGAGTGTGGACACAGGCACGAAAATCATGAACAACTATATTATTTCTCAATAAATACTTATGTTCTTTTAAACTAAACACAAAATTTACTTAGTTTTTATTAAGACATTTTATTAAGAATATAACACCTGTTGGAGTGGCAATAAATGAACAGAAGTTATTATTGGTTGAGTTCGTAAAACTTATCAAATCTGATTCTAGAAGACATTATAAGGAATGCGATAAGTTCACAAATAAATATTTTATAATTTCATTTGATAATTTTTGAATAAATGGTGATGCTACAAAAAAAAAAGCCACCAAAATTTATTTTAATATTTAATTAATAAAAATGTAGTTTTCGACCTCTCCTGTTATTGTTTTACCTTTATGTGCTTATAAAATATTATTTATAGGTATTTAATGATTTACAAGAACATAAAGATTAAAAACTAATTAATCTAATTAAAGTAATTTTGAATAATTCTAATGGCGGACATGATACTTATAAAATACTTTAATACGGATATAATGATCATATATATCGATTATGTAACAGAGTTAACTGTGGTTAAATATTTAATTGAGCTTTTTAATTATTAAAATTTTATTTCTTTCTCTATTTTTTAAACTCTCATTAATATTTATTCGTTTTAATATTCATTATAATATTACAATGTTATATTACTCGTACGTTTACATCTAATATTTTTTAACTTTCAAGTAAAATTCAGCCTTAACTAGATTTGCATTCAATCTCTTAAATAATTTCAAAATAATAGATCAAGTTAGTGATGTATAAAGCGCTGTCAAAGCTTTAGCTAAATGGTATTTGACTTTGTCACTAGTAAGAGAAAGTTTTAATTAAAATAATAATAATAAAAATTAAAAAATTCCTTAGGCTCCCCATTGATAAATTCTGTTATTTCAATGGGTTACTCTATTACTACTTACAGTTCATAAAATTTAATTAATTTTTGTATCGATTGAATTATTGTTTTTTAATAAATAATTACTAGTAAGTGAAATATAATTCTACATACAACTATATTTAGTTTAAATACTAATACTTGATTGACTTATTAATATTCGTAAAATTATACTCAACACGTTATTTTTATTGCTTTATATAAAGTTATTAATGATATGTTTCAAAACTAGGTTAGTTGTTAGTAGATCCTTTTTATTTTTTTTTATTACGACTAAAACTTGTTTTTTATTAAAATTTGAACACAGATGATTCAGAAAATTGTGATAAAATGAAAGTTTATGGAGAACAATGAAGTTGTTATAATGGCTGTTTTATAAAATTAATAGATCTGTCAGGTAAATGTTTATAATAACAATGTTATTTGATCCAAAAAGTAATGTATACTAATTTATAATTAAAAAAAAATAATACGAGTGAAGAAAAAGTATGTGTGTATTTTACTAGCTTAAAAAACTTAAAATTGTAATAAAATAAATAGTCAAAAACTTATAAGGGTGTCAAATGTATATTTTTTAATAGCAACATACATTTTTAATTAGCTTATAAAATAGAAATTGATCCAATTAAAATTAATTAATCTAATTAAAATATTGACTAGAATTAATGTGCGATTGCTGTTATTTTTTTCATTTGACATTTTTCGAAAGCATTATTTTTTGCGTGTTAAAATAATAATAATTACCGATCTATTGGTCTAAAAATTGTTATTACTTAGACATTTTTTTTAATTATATCATTTCCTATTTTATAGACAAGATCAATATATATGTTTTTATTTGAAAAAATAAGGTGATATGCTTTTTAAGGAACCTAAAAAATATTTAATCGCTCATAAACTGAGAAATAAATAATACCTAACAAAATAAATATTCTCAAAATTATTCTTTTAAAAGAAATGAAGTGATCAATAATAAATCAATTATTCTGTATATATAGATATAAGAAATGTGCTTCGTCGAAGAATAGACGTTAGAAAAGCAAATATACTGATGATAAAAAAATGTAGTTTAATAACTCCCATTAAAATATCACTGTGTAAATCCGGTTAATGTTATTTTGATGAAACTATATATAAAATAGAAAGCATCAGATTTCAAATGGTGATATTCTACTTAGAAATTGTAAAAGTTTTCCAAACATCTATTATAAAACAATCAAATTTTGCTATTTTGATTTTATAAAATATCATAATAATATTTACAATGTAAGTAGTTATGTTGAAAATCATAGTACGGAAATTGACTATCCAGATTCTATATGATCATATTTTATTGTTTCTTATTTGAGATATTTTTCTCCTGTAATATTTTTAAAATATCAAATTTTATTTATTAGTTTGCAGTCGATATACTAACTTAAAGAGTTAGAATTGAGAAAGCTTTGTGTGTTTGTATTAATTTATTTTTAAGAACTCTAGTATTTTTCATTTAGTATTAACAACAATATATACATCAAATTTTTTTAAACTTTTTAGAAGAATAAGTCATACAATATCAAATTGCGTCTATGTATTAAGTATTCTTTATAATTATATATACTTTATCATTTTAATTTTTTTTGTATTTTCTCATTTTTAGACTACAAATGATGTATGATGTGTGTGATTTTTTAATTTTTAAAGCAATGGATAAGAAAATGGGCTAAGGATATAAGATATTTCAAGTATTTTTTCTTAAATAAAAATTTTGGAATAGATAGCCAAGTTAATTGAAATAATTAACTAAAGTTAACGTAAGTTAAATAGATACAATACTGATAAGTCAAAACTTAAGAGTTAATAAATTATAAATTAAACAAATTAAGTTAAAAGCTTAAGTGAAAAAAATTATAATTTCGAATTCAGCTAAAATAAAGCTTTTTAATTTCTAAATCAGTTTGTGAATCAAGTGAAATATTTCTTCTGACTGATTTCCAAATTTTTAAACAGAAATAGTATGACTGGAGGCTTAACTCACATATGGGTATTTTTGAATACGCGTGTTCAAAAATTACTCCCTGCCCTCGTTTATAAAAATTCAATAGTGTTATATTTGTTGTTATATAAATATACTATTTAGGGCGGGGGAAGTCAATTTAGCTTAGCTTCATTCTGGCACCTATCATAAATATTTGCAATCAATTTTTCATTATAAAAAAAAATTGTGCTTATACACTCTCACACAACTTCTTATTTAAGCTATTGAGAATTAGAGAATTTTTCAAATTAGAAAATAAGTGAGTAGGCTTAATAATAATATGAAATTAATATTATTATTATATGAGTTGATATATTATTCAATGTTGTCCATGTTTAATATAATTATTTAATAAACTTATTTATTGTTAACAAACTTATTTAATATAATATTTTTTAATCAAGGTACATAAATCACAGATTTTAGTAATTATTTTATAATTTTCATTTTAAACCACGTATGGAGCCAAAATATTTTATAACATTATTAATTTTAGCATTATTTATTTAATGGATGAACTTCAGACAGTCAAAAAATACTAAAGTATTCTAAGTATATAAAAAATATGAAAGTGTACAAGGTAGTGTGCATATATCTTTTTCAACTGTATTTTTATTGTGTGACATGTCATGATTTATTTGTTATGAACCACTTAATTGATAAAAAATAAATAGAACTTTTTTTATTTTGTTTTAATATTAAAAGTATTTTTTTATTCATCCCTTATAACTTATAAGGATGGCAACTTTATTTTTTTCGGATGTTATTAACATTTTAATGTGATTGTTGTAGATGAGACGTTGGTAATGTTTTTTATGACTACTTTTTACGCTTAGATATAAAAATGTTAATAACTTCTGAAATACTGGTCTAAAAATTGTTATCGATCAGTCATTTTCCTAATTAGATCATTATATATTTTTCAAGCTTGTTCATTATGTGCATTGTTATTTGAAAAAATAAAATTGATATTCTTATATTATGTAAGGGATCATTATTAAAAATACTTTAAATTAATAAATTGAAAAAAATTTGTACCTAAAAGAAAAAAAAAATTCTTATATTATTTTTATTTGTTGATTAATTAATGAAAAATTTATGATAAATGAATCACCTTGGATTATTAATATTTTGATATAATGAAAAATAATTAATAGAAGTCATATAAAAAAACTGTTTTAAATAAAAAATCATGTTTGATATTGTTAAAACTGTTGAAAAATGTATAAAAAATACTACACATTTATCAAAAAATGGCGCAATCAAGGAAAAGAGTAAAATGCCAAATGGTATTATTTCTTAGTTTTCATATGAAATTATGTCTAACAGATATATTAAAAAGGAGTATAGATGAAAATAATACGGAATTTTTATTTTCGATTTTTTTGCGCAATGTGCAAAATGTGTATAAAATGAGTAACTAAAAATTTTCTGTTGCTAACAAATAAACTAATCAAATACGCGGTTCAAGTGTGACTTTATCTTGTATGTTTCAATTCAAAATAAATTTTGAATAATTGATTTTAAAAGCTACAATTTCTTTAATTGAATAATTTAAATAGTTGTTATTTATACTTGATTGTTGTTCATTTTATTGTGTATTGTTAGTTTTAAAAAATGTTAATTAAATAATAGTTCAATAATCATTCATCATGTATTTTACATTCATTAAGCATTAAAACTTTTAAATGTACATGAATCTATATTAATTTAATAAAGTAAACATTTTCACAAAGACTATAAGGATATTTTATTATTTCGTGTTTGACATCTAAAAGTATTATACATAGTGTTTATTTTATCATGAACCACTATTATTAATTAATAAAATTAAAATAATATTGATATTTTTTTTTTTTTGGTTTCTTTGAGTTTTAATTTATTTAGTTTATTAATCATAAAGTATTTTTGATATTTATCTCTTATATCTTATAAAAGTGTCAACTTAATTTTTTAAAATAATAATTTACGTAATTAACAAACTTATAAATTAGATAATGATTTAATTAAGAAAATGACTGATCGATTACAATTTTTGGACCAGTATTTCGGATGTTATTAACATTTACATACTTAGGCGGAAAAAGGAGTGCAGTCAGAAAGTGTTTATTGATAAAAATAACACACTGGCACCTCATCTACGACAATTACTTTAAATTGTTAATTAATTAAGAATTTATTAACTTCTGAAATGTAAAATATGAAGTAATTATTATTGACATGTAATTTTCTTAACTATATTATTATCTAAATAACCTAGTATAATATGTATATTATCATTTGAAAAAATAAGGTTTTCATCTTTATAAGAGTAACACTTATAAGTGATAAACATAAAAAATACTTTAAAATTGATAAATTGTAAAAAACTGTATTTAAAAGAAATCAAATAAAAAATTCTCAACATTATTTTAATTTGTTTTATTAATTAAGTAGTTCAGAACTAATTAATCACCTTGTATAAAACATAACACACAAATAAATATTTAACGAAAGAAGAAATTTATATGTAATTGACTGATAAAGTGAGAAAAGTATATAATTAAAAGAAAAGAAATAATTATCAATATATTTATGAATTATTTTGATTAAATTAATTAATGTTAAAAGAATTGCTCTGTATATTCCAAAATGTTTAACTATTTTCAACATTCTAAACCTTTATTTTACTATACACCTTTTATTATAGAAGTTTTTTTAATATGAAAACATAATTAGAAAACTTGTTTACTTACTTTTATCTTAACCATATTTAAAGTCCGAAATGGGAGATAAAAGTATACACATGAAAAAAAGTCTTAAAACTGAGACTAATCAAGTTGTATGCGGTGACAAGAGGATATTGATCCGATGCGAAAGAAAATAAAATGTGTTGTGTATGTTCATAAGGATTTTTATTATATGTTTCCCGCCATACCAAAGATTTCACTTGAGGTTCTGACAGCGCCTTACTATAGTTTTTCCTTCCGATGCACACAAAAAAGTGGAAGTGGCGTATTCAGACTAAAATATAAATTTAGTACTACTAAGTAACCTCTATATTCTCGTCTATCCGGTTGGTAGCTGTTCTTCTTCAATAATTGACATAGTTGTTTAATTTATATATATACCAATATATACGAATAATATAAATGTCTATTTACGTGTATTTTTAGTAGCTTCAATAATTCTTTTGTATGAAAAATTGAATCTAAAATTTCTAAAAGTATTATTTTTATTTTCTACTAAAAAATATTAAGTAGCTTATAATAAATAGATAGATTTTTAATTTGTCTTAATTAAATTTTTCCATCAATTTTTAAAAAATTGTTAAATAAATATAAAATAAAAATTATTATCATGTACCATAATGAACAGTGTTATCAATTGACCATTTTTTTTCGTTTATTAGTCGTATCATTATGTTCATTTTTAGATTATAGGTGTTAGCGCGAGTCACACTATAATATTGTATTTTATCTTTGTTTAGCTGGTCAGCAATGTATCTTTTATTATAAATCTAGTCAGTGTACGTTCCACCGCTGAACCATCAGCGACGCGCTCTAATATTAATCTAAGTCATACTTGTATTTAAATATTGTCATTTAAGTTAATTATAAATAAAATTACGGAGCAAATATTTTGTAAGTTATATTTATAGTTTGTTAAGTTTCATATTTATTACATTAATCAAACAAATTAAAAAATATCATACAAATAAATTTAAGTGAGCGTTCGATTTATTAACGATTAATAATCCCGCTTCATCAACAATAGGTTTATTTACTCTTGTGGAATATCTTTTATGCTCAATAAAAGAATAAAATATAAATAAAGAATAAAAAGAACAGATTTTCATAATAACGCTCATTAAAAAAAAAAAAAGTGACAATAGACACACACAAAAAAAAACTCATCATAGTAAAATTAAAACTTTTTCAGCTTTACATGGAGGCTAAAAAAAAACTATATGGTTTAACATGAAACTTGCATTTTTTTGCGTGAATACAATACTTAAATGAATTATACCAAAATAATATTTATTAAAGTAACTAAATTTATTATAATTTATGCTTAATTAACATGTTTGTCATATTGTGAGTCAAATACTAATTAAAGTATTTAAAGTGTTGTGAAAATGAATAATAAACCACCATTTCCTAGGTTAATAATTTATTAATTTTTATCACAAACTAAATTGTAGGAACTCAAAAAATAATCATAAATATATAAGAATAGTAAGTATATATATATACTTACATATATTTTTAAAATGTTAAAGGCAATAGAGCATAGATTCTGGTGAATGTTTCAAAACATTTTTTTTTTTAATTATTAAAAGTATTGATTATTATTCAATCAAATTTACTTTATTTAAAATAAAATATGTGCAGTTATGTATGCAAGGTGATCTATTTATCATAACTCCCTCAAATACTTATAAAATAAAGATATTTTTTATGCTTTTTTTAGTAATATATTGCTTGATTTATCAATTATTAAGTACAATTATCAAGTTTTTTGGATCATCCCTTATCAGGAGTGAAAAAATCCCGTTTTTTAAGCCTAAGACGTCAAAGTTTTTAAAGTTTTATCTAAAATAACCTAAAAACCTACTGGGTTATTACGTGGTAGCCACACATAGTTTTACGAGATTTTTAAAAAAAAAAAAATTGGCTTCAATAACAATTATAATTATGGCCTAAATAACAATATTTGATAATGATAAAGATTAAATATCTCATAATGACATAAAAAGCATCTAAGTTCCACATGGGAACTGAAATATTTTGTCTTTTTTATTTGTATACTTTTAAATATTCATCATCATCACTATATGTTGATGATGGGATAGAAGTCTCTATCCAAACTAATTAGGGTTGGCTCTGCCTTAACAATTGGACGGAGTTTTAGGCTGGCTGTCGACCTGATGGCCGACGGAACCCATAAGGGCTATAGTGTATATCACTGTTTAAGTTTCCGTATGGTCACCCATCTAAGAACTAATAGCAAATAGCGCAGACGAACATTAGCACTAAGATAGCAACTGAATAAATATTTTATAAAACATATTTAGTTGCATCTAAAAGTAATAATTTTAGATATTTATTAGATAAGCCTGAAAAATCTGAAAAATTCATTAATAAACATTAAGGATATATCCATGTTTGCAGTTGAGTTCTGACGTTTTTTAAGTCGAATTGTATGGTTTATTTTGTTCAATTATTATTAATGATTTTGTACATAGAATAATAATATAAGAACCAAAAGAACTGTATATGTTTGTTATACAGGATGATTCTTTTAACATTGGGTCACTCAATTTCTCTTAAAATAATAATTATTTTGTGAATTTTTTTTTTTGGCTTGTGTTAGTTATATATATATATATATTTAACTGTATAAAATATGTTTTATGTTCATCCCTTATACCTTATATGGGTGTCAAGTTAATTTTTTTAAATGGGGCATTTTTATATCTAGGCGAGAGTAGTGAGACCAAAAAGTGTCTATTAAAAAAAATAGTAGCACCCACTCCTCACTTCCAGTCTTTACTTTAAATTGTTAATAACTTCTGAAATACTGGTTCAAAAATTACTATCGACTAGTATTTATCTTAATTAGATCATTTTCTATTTCATAAACTAGTTTAATATGTATGTTTTTATTAAAAATAAATATGACATCCCTATAAGACATAAGGAATGAACATGAAAAGTATTTTATACAATTAAATATATACATATATTATAAGTCAAAAAAAAAAAAAATTTCACAAAAAAATTGTTATTTTAAGAGAAATTGAATGGCTAGTGTTTTAAGAATCACCTTGTGGTTTATAAGGTAATTAGGTAGACGATATGATTATACTATGAGAGAGATTAAACGTAATCAATGCACTTGTAACTACAAAAATAATAATAATGTAAATCCATCTATATTAGCCTAAATAAAATCATTTATAATAAATTTGCACGGCATTTAAATAATAGCATAAAGTCACTGGATTATTATTTTAATAGTGAGTTTTAATGATTTTATTGTTTTGTCCTAAATTATATGCATGAATGTATGTACCTATTTATTTTTTTTATTATTAAAACACATTTTTTAATAAATAATTAAATTTTTCTTTTTTATTGGACTTCTATTTGCATCAAAATCATAGGCTTTCGTGAGTAGACCAACTATGTTAAAACTCTACTTTATATATACAGAATGAATAAGAATAAAACAATTATTGTTTTACTTTCATAGAAACTATTGAAAGTTTTTAATTTTTACAAAGTAGCATATTGTTTAATTAAAAAAATTCTAAAATAATATGTGGTTAATTTTTTTTCTTTTCTTCGGGGATAAAAAAACTTTGTCAAGTGGCCGGATAACACCCTCCACACAAACCCTTTCACACGATGGCCTTGTGAACACCGTTAGTCACTTTGTTTAATAATATTTAAATAGGATAAGCATTATCAAAGGTAGAATGTATATTCGCGAGTGTTGCTCATAAATACTCCGGTGATTCATTATAAGTCTTAAAATTTTAGTCAATTTTCGCCTATGATTGTAGTTATAAAGAAAATTTTTCTTCACTGGTTGTTTTACAATGTACAATAGTATACTTACGTTGTATATGACGTTTCATTAAAGAAAATTATAGTTTAGGTTTTCATCTTTAAATGTATGAAAAAAAATTTATTTAACTACATGTTATTGTATAGCTTTTTGAATCAAACAATATTTTCCTTTATAAAAATTAAAAATGTATAACAGTTTTGAAGAAAATGAGTGTCTTGTCTTTAACCTTTAAACAGTCGCGTGGGGGTCTAGCATACCCCCACATAAATAAAAATGGATGTATTATATTGTATAAAAGGAGTACATAGATATAAATTTAGAAGATGGTTTTTATAGTAATATTGAATCAATTTTCATAAATACCTTCAAAAAAAAAAATGTATGACTTAAAATATTCATTAAAATTGAAATGGGTCATATTTACCCCCACGCGACTTGTAACGTTATAAATTTTTTTGCACTTTTTTTTTAAAAATATCGTTTTATTGTAAATGCAATGTTATAATCGATATAATATTGTAGAATTGGAATTATGTGGATTTGCCACCGACTGTGCAATTAAGTTTTAAAAATAGATAATCTATTGAGAATTTCCACTACTCGATGATACAGAACAAATAAGAACAAAATATGTAATAAATACATTGCGTATACTAAACAGTATGCAAAGATTGTTGGGAGAAAAATCAATGTTCAACAGATTCAGTATAATTGTATATACTCGTATCATAATAATTAAATGTATTGTAATATTAATAATCAAAAAATCCAATTTAGAAAAATGATTATATAAATGTAAATACACATAAAACTAATAAATATAATTCGTGTTTGAGCTCAAAGAAATACAAGAAAAATTAATTAAAATACATTTTGTAATAGTAAAAGCTTTTGTTTACGGTCTTAAAAATAAGATTTTGCAGTTAAAATAATTTTTTTACAAACCAAAATTTTTTAATGAAATTTTGAAAATTAAGTTGTTTTTTTTCGTAATATAATTTTTAGTAATGCACATAATTTTGTAATTTATTTATTTTTTAATTTTTATTATTGAATTTTTATCCATATTTATATATCATATGATAACAAATAATGCCTTTGAATTTAAAAAAAAGAACTTTTTTATACATATTTTATACTTTTTTAGAAATGGGGTCTGATAGACCCCCACGCGACTATGGACGTTAAAAATAGGCACGCGCCTGCTAAAGGGTTAATGAATCATTTATATATATCATGTATAATGTTTTTTTAGTAAAATGAATTAAATTATTATTATTTATTATTTTTGTATGTATTAAATGAATCATATAAATTCAATAAATGAGGCAACATTTTTTATTAAAAATATATTTTTGATTATTTTGAAAAAAAGTTATAAATTTTAA